TGGATCAAACTTGGCACACACACCTGATATGCCGAAATGTGATTACTGGAGGGATTTGGGGGGGGGGGGGGACTGACCTTCCTTTCTGGGAGTTGTAGTTCACCCACAACCAGAGAGTTTGTAACATCCACTGATGGACCTGGACCAAACTTGGCACACAGAACCCCCATGACTAACTCAACCTACTGGAGAGGTTTCAAGGGACTGACCCAATATAGTGGGAGCTATAGTTTAACCTACAGCCAGAGAGCACACTGAACCTCATTGATGATATATCTATAGCAAACTTGTCCAACATAACAAACTTTAAGTACTGATGGAATTTCTCCAGGTTAACCTAGCATGACGTGAGTTGTAGTTCACCCGCAAACTTGTGCATTTTGTACAATTAAAATATTGACTTTTTCAAATAACCCGGGCAATACCGAGCAATAGCGTCATATAAAACAAAGCAAATAGTTACGTTTTCGAGTATATATTTAGTTATCCTAAAGTGACATTGGGTAGTCAATTAAAAAGGATGTATAAAAGTATAAGGTGCAGCTACAAGAACTGTAAATTTATGCTTTATATATGTCTAATTGCCAACATCAATATTCAAGAAGATGACTATGTGATGTCCTTTTTGTGTGAATATGCACCAGATGATATCAACTGTAAATAATATGATTAAAAGTGTAAGTAGAAAATATAAGGTACTCCACATACAACCACATTTCTCTGGCCTTGAAATTAATACACCAACTGCACACTGGAGAAAAATATACTTTGGAAAGAGAACACATGCATGCCTAAGTCACTAAGCAGATTCCAGCTATTCTTTTATGTGTCAAATAGGGAAGAGGCTACTAACAAAGGCTTCCAACACACCCATCTCTGATCAAGCGAAACGAGAGTAAGGCATTTCACGAAGAAACCATTAGAGCACCTGAGAGGCTCGTCAAATTCTTCCTTCTCCATTTTGCCATCCAGTTCCTCACAGTGGGTTAGTTCCATCTCCGTCTCCTCCTGCCTGTTTTTCTTCTCGTCGCTTTGGAAGTACTGCTGGAGCGCTGTGTAAAGCTTGTACACTTGGCTGAAGGAGAGCTTGTTGTAGGCCAGGATCATGTGGCGCAGAAAGAGGCCTGTGTGAGTAGAGCAAGGGTTTTATTGACACCAATATATATCTATAGAGCAGGAATGGGCAAACCCAGGTCAGGGGGTCGGATGTGGCCCCTTGAGCTTTTTTTCTTAAGCCCTCCTCTCTCCCACTGTCCTATCCTTCTTTCCTTCCTCCTTCCCTCCCTTTGTTACCTCCATCTTTCTCCTTCCCTTCTTACTTTTCTTCCGCCCTTTCGTCCTTCCTTCTTTCCCTCTTTCCTCCCTCGTCCCCTCTCTCCCTTTTTTCCTTCCTTCCTTCCCTTTAATATTTTCCTTCCTTCTCTCTTTCCTCCCTCCATTCCCTTCTACTCTTTCACCCTTCTCTTCCTTTTTCCTCTCTTCCTTCTCTTTTTTCCTTCCTCCTTTCCTCTTGGGGATGTTTAGCTGGGAGAAGAGAAGGTAGAAAGGGAACCTGGGAACCATGTTTCAAGATTTCAAAGGGTGCCCCATTGAGGAGGAGGGGAAGGGAAAATGATTTTCTGCTGCTTTAGAGGCCAGGGCACCAGGGAGCAATGGGTTCAAATGGCAGGGAAAGAGATTCTATTGAAAAGATTAGGAAGAACTTCCTGAAGAGTGGCATAGGCTGCCTCGGAGTGTGGTAGAGTCTCCTTCTCTGGAGGCTTTTCCACAGAGGCTGTCTATTGGGAGTGATTTGATTGTGCCTCCCTGCATGGCAGGGGATTGGACTAGATGGCCCTTGGGGGTCTCTTCCAACTCTAGGATTCTAGATCAGAAGTAGGCAATATGGGTCTAATAAATACACTTTTTGTCTCCCATCCACCATCTCATCCTGACCAAGGCTAAGCCTTTTGGTCTTTCCTTCACTTTCTGCTTCCAAAAAAGAAGAGGAAAGGGAGGAAAGGGCAGGGAGGGGACTGGGGGAGTACCCTCACCATCCCGGACCACCCACCTCACTCCAGCCCGCCATGCATCCCCCAAGTTAGACAGTTTGCCCATTCCTCCTGTAGTTAGCTTAGAGCAGTTGAGAGGGCATCAGATTGTCCTAATCATCCATTCATAGAATCATAGAATAATAGAGTTGGAAGAGACCACATGCGCCATCTAGTCCAACCCCTGCCATGCAGGAAAAGCACAATCAAAGCACCCCTGAAAGATGGCCATCCAGCCTCCAAGATAGAAGCTTCCACTGGACTCTGAGGCAGAGAGTTCCACTGCTGAATGGCTTAGGAAGTTCTTCCTAATGTTCTGGTGGAATCTCCTTCCCTGTAATTTGAACCCATGGCTCCACTGAGTCTTAGTTTCCAGGGCAGCAGAAAATAAGCATGCTTTCTCTTCCTCATGATATCCTTTCACATATTTGATGGCCATGTATAAATATGTGAGGGGAAGTCATAGGAAGGAGGGAGTAAGCTTGTTTTTTGCTGCCCTGGAGACAAGGACGAAATGGAGCAATGGATTCAAACTACAGGAAAGAACGGAGATTCCACCTGAACATGAGGAAGAACTTCCTGTCTGTGAGAGCTGTTCAGCAGTGGAACACTCTGCCCTGGAGTGTGGTGGAGGCTTCTTCTTTAGAGGCTTTTAAACAGAGGCTGGATGGCCATGCGATTTTCCTGTTTTCTGGCAGAATGGGGTTGGACTGGATGGCCTACAAGGTCTCCTCAAACTCTATGATTCTATTATTTATACATGGCTATCATGTCTCCTCTTCTGAGGGCTAAACAGACCCAGCTCTTTAAGATGCTCCTCAGAGGGATTCATGGTCTCTGGACATTTGATCCTTTTAGTCTCCCTCTTCTGGACACATCCCAGCTTGTTAATATCTCTTTTAAATTGTGGTACCCAGAATTGGACACAGTATTATTCCAGGTAAAAAGGTATAAGCATGGCAGAATAGAGTGACTTCCCTTGATCTAGATACTAGACTCCTTTTGATGCAGCCCAGAATCCCATTGGCTTTTTTTGCTGCTGCATCTCATTGTTGTCTCATGTTCAGCTTGTTGTCCACGAAGACTCCAAGGTCTTTTTCACATGTGACTCAGTTGTTGAGCCAGGTGTCACCCATTCTGTATTTTTGCATTTCATTTTTTTCTGCCTAAGTGAAGTATCTTACATTTGTCCCTTTTGTTACTTTTGGCCAATCAGCTCTCTAATCTGTCAATCATTTTGAATTCTGAGCCAGTCCCCGGTTTGCAATTGCCCCTTTCACCACTACAGGGAGCTGTTCTACATGATGCGAATATACTTATTTGTTGTATTCTATTGTTATACTATATAATTACATTGTATTATATTTATATTATTATATAAATATAATAAAATATAGATACATACTGTACTGATTTTAGAGTTTTAAGCCATAGGAGAACACCTGATGAACCAAGCTGGACACAGCATATTATTGGAGAACACAGAAATGCTGGACCACTCTAACAGTCACCATGTCAGACTATGCAGAGAAGCCATTGAAATCCACAAGTATGTGAACAATTTCAACAGAAATGAGGAAACAGTGAAAATGAACAAAACCTGGCTACCGGTATTTTAAAAACTAAAATCAGGATAGTAAATAAACAACAACACTCAGAAAACAGGGGAATTCCAGACAGAAACATTCAGGGCCAGCTAACACATCTCAACAAAGGATTCCCCTAGGCAGGAGCAGCCAGGCTTTGAAGCTGCAGGGCTATTCAATACTAATCAAGGTGGCCAATGGCAACATTCACGCTTGCCTCAAACAGACAAGAGTTCTTTCTCCCACCCTGGACATTCCACAGATATATAAAACCCACTTGCCCAGTTTCCAACAGAGCTCACAACCTCTGAGGATGCCTGCCACAGATGTCAGCGAAACATCAGGAGAGAATGCTTCTGGAACATTTATTTCTTTATTTATTTGAAACATTTATATTCCGCCCTTCTCACCCCGGACGGAGCACAACATACAAACAGCAAACATTCCATGCCAGGACATAAAATAAGTATAAATATACACAGACATTAAAATCAATCATCTCTACTTTAAAATCAGCTGTTTAAAACCATCTCAAGACACCATGCTGGCTTCGGTCAGTGGAGTGGGTTCTCTATTATTGCATCATTGCACTGTTCCAAATGCTTGGTCCCACAGCCAGGTCTTTACCATCTTTCTGAAGGACAGAAGGGAGAGGGCTGATCTAATGTCACCAGGAAGGGAATTCCATAGCCGGGGCAATCACTGAGAATGCCCTGTTTCTCGTCCCCGCTAAATGCACCTGTGATGGTGGCAGGACCAAGAGCAGGGCCTCCCTAGAAGATCTTAGTCTTTGCGGTGGTTCATAAAGGAAGATGCATTCAAATAGGTAAACTGGGCCAGGGCCATTTAGGGCTTTATAAGTCAAAGTCAGCACTTTGAATTGTGCCCGGTAGCAAACAGGCAGCCAGTGGAGATGACTTAACATGGAAGTTGCATGCTCCCTGTATGCTGCCCAAGTTATTAACCTGGCTGCCTCTTGTTGGACTATTTGAAGCTTCTGAACAGTCTTCAAAGGCAACCCCATGTAGAGCGCATTGCAGTAGTCTATCCTGGACCACCATGGCCAGACAGCCCAGAAAACTCACAGCAACCCAACAAACAAAGACTACGTCTGATAACTAGAACTACAGAATCCCTAACCCAAGCATCACTGGGTCCCACTTCCAGCTACAAGAAACCTTGTTCAGCTATATTCAAGTTGAGCCTAACAACATAATGTGCATGTGCTCGGAAAAGGCAACTGCCTAGAAATTTAAAAAATGATTACTGACAACTACCATAATAACATGGGACATTTTTGGCAATTCATGGAGATTTGTCTCCTACTGCCTGGCTGAAGCAAAGTGAAATCAGTTCATTCCTGCCCAGCAGTCATTCAGAAATAACTTGGTATCCTGTATGTATCTACGGCCCCATCTAAACCGACCATTAATGTAATTCAAAGATAGCTTCCAACTGTGACACCCAGACAACACACTCCCACAAAAGTGAACAAAAGGAAGCCCTTAATGAGTCTGTGCTCTATGGCTTGTGTCATCACCATCCGGACCTCAAACTGGTTCCAGGATTTCCTACATAATCCTTGGCACAGTAAAACCACTTTCTTCAATATTGGTTTGAAATTGCATTAAATGGGCAATGTAGATGAGAGCCCTCGGTACTTGGAAGCTTCTCCAATTGTAAGGATTGTTTTGGATGCTTATATCAGAAATGATACAGTACCCACAACACTTGTCTTGTGAACTTCAGGTTCCGTCCCACTGAACGCCTCCGAAAGCTCATCGAAGAATTCCTCCATGTCTTTCAGTTCCCCACTTGCCATCAGCTTTATCCTGTGCATGAAGGAAGCAAGAATTTTTTTCCAAGTTGAACTATCTACCTAATGCAAAAAAATGTTATTCCAGAGGTCATTACACAGCAGCTACCACTATCTCCACCTTTAGCTAGGCAGGCTAGAGCTAATGAGAACTGCAGTTCAGAAATATCTGGAGGACGACCTGATTCCCACCATCAGACTCTACCCAGAAGGCCTTCTCAAATAAGGGGGAGGAAAATCATGCTAACAGGCTCCATTTGGAGTCCAACGTGAGCAGCGTTGCTTAGGGCTTCTTAAACTTTTTCCACTTGTGAGCCCTTTTCATCTGAGAACTCTTTACATGACTCAAGGTATATATGAAAGGTATAAAACTCAAACATTTACAGGCTGATTTCCCTTTTTGTGGAGTCCAGTTGAATAATCTTTTGCAGACTCCACTGTAAATGCTGCACGCTTTTGCCAACAGATTTGTGTGAATGGGTGGCATTCAGAAACTTTTTACTGTTGCCCATTATTATTATTATTATTATTACTATTATTATCCTCTTGGCTTTATTGTTGTTGTTATTATTGTTATTATTATTAGGATCCCATTTGGGGTTGGGACCACAATTTAAAAAGCAATGCCCTAAAATGACTGTGAGCCATTTCATCCCATGTAGCTCCTGATGACTAAGAGCCAGATACCGATACATTTCTTCCCTCCGAGTACCTTTGACTTAAGCATCAGCTGCAAAAACACAGGAAAAGGCTTCATGAACCTTCAAAGAACACATTTGGGATGATGAGGGTTTTTTTTGTGTGTGTGTCAGGAGCGACTTGAGAAACAGCAAGTTGCTTCTAGTGTGAGAGAATTGGCCATCTGCAAGGACTTTGTCCAGGGGATGCCCTTATGTTTTACCATCTTGTGGGAGGCTTCTCTCATGTCCCCACATGAGAAGCTAGAGCTGACAGATGGGAGCTCACTCCACTCCCCGGATTCGAATCACAGTCAGCGGTCCTGCCAGCACAAGGGTTTAACTCATTGTGCCACTAGGATGATGAGACACTATACAGCTAGCTATATATGAGCACAGCCAAGGCCGTTTTGTTGTTTGGTGCCTTCAAATTATTTCTGACTTACAGCAACTAAAAAGTGACCCCCTCACAGGTTTTCTCAGCAAGATTTGTTTAGAGAATGTATGCTCTTGCCTTCCTCTGAGGCTGAGAGAATGTGATTTCTCCAAAGGCAGAGTTGAAAGAACTTAGATGGTATACTTGAAGTGACTGGATTGATCTTGAAGGAGCTGAGGGTGGTGACGACCGACAGGGAGCTCTGGCATGGACTGGTCCATGAAGTCACGAAGAGTTGGAAACGACTGAATGAATGAACAACAACAAACAAGTTATTGATTTATTTGCAGCACTTATATTTCGCCCTTCTCACCCTGAAGGGGACTCAGGGCAGATCACAGAACACATACACGGCAAACATTCAATGCCGTTAAACAGACAGGACAAACAACAGATAGAGGTGTATGTTGGCATTTTTCCCAACTTCAGCATCCTGGAGATTATGCTCAATTCTGGCCAAAGGGGGATGCTGTTGCTCCATCCTCCATGACAGCAGTTCTCAACCTGGGGGTCGCAACCCCTGGGCGGGGGTCAATCGGCCGCCAGAGGAGGGCGTGCCACCACTTCCTTCAGTTCTGCCTCTACCGCCTCCTCTGAATAGCTGCCAGACCCCTTCTCCTTCTCCCCCTTTTCCCTCTTTTATTTCTCTTCCTTTGGTGATGGTGCTGCGGGCGGGGGAGCTGGAGATGCAGAGTGCCAGTCTGCTGCAGCTGTGGAAGAAGAAGCAGGCAGAGCTGCGGGCAGACGGGTTGAGTCTGCTCTCGCCAGAGGGCAGCAAAGGGCGGCGGGAAGGAGATGTGCTTCAGCAGGTGAAGAAAGAGGGGAAGGAAGCAGAGGGAGAAGAGAAAGAGGCCCAGAAGCCCCGGCAGAGGAGGGAGCCCATGTCCGCGCCCCACACCAAGGCACCCACACACTGCCTGAGACATGCGTGCAACCAGGGACACCAGACTGAATTGTGGCTCTTTTGCTTCCTGATTGGGAGCATGAATAGGAAAGCTACAGGGGACCAGATCCAGATCTTGACTACACCAGTATTCTATCAGACGGCAAGCATTGCCAACCATTGCCCCTCCGAAAGAGACCAAAAAGGGACTGGGAGCTGCACTCTGAAGTTAGCTGGGGAAGCCTCCTCTCTCCCTCCTTTCGTCCCCGCAATTTGGAGACACATTGGCCGCTATCAACAAATGGAAGCAAAATGGAGGAGAGACAAGGAGGTGGAGGAGGAGAAGGCAGCGTGAAGGAACAGGGCTTTGGTTGGAGCCCAACCCCGACGCGCACAGGGAAGAGCAAGAAGCCCCTCTCTACTTGCCAAGGGGTCACTCTGCCTCTCCCTTTTTCAGGTGGCCCTGAGTTCCTTGGCAGCACCACCTGGCATACCAGCTGAGTTGAGCGAACAAGTGAGCTCTCCTTTTCTTCTTCTCCTTCTTTCCTCATCAAACTTTACTGGATAGGGTCTCCTCAATGGAAGAAGCGTTGCCTTTTGGTTCTGCTGGGCTTGGTCTTCTCGGTCCTTTTCTATGTCTCAAGTGGCACGTGGGTGCCTTGGCGCGGGGCGTGCACATGGGCTCCCTCTTCTCCCGGGGCTTCCAGACCCCTTCCTCTTCTCTCTCCACTTCCTCCCCCTCTTCAGTAGTAGGAGGAAGGGGACAGAGAAGGCCAAGCCCAGCAGGACAAAAAGGCAGAGACTCTTCCACCAAGGAGACCCCATCTGGTAAAGTTTGACGAGGAAAGGAGAAGAAGGAAAGGAGAGCTTGCTTGTTCGCTTGACTCTACCGGTGCGCTGGGTGCTGCTGCCAAGAAACTCAGGGCTGCCTGAAGAAGGGAGAGGCTGCGGCCCAGCGAGAGCAGGCTAAGCCCATCTGCCCACAGCTCTGCCTGTTTCTTCTTCCACAGCTCCAGCAGGCTGACGCTTTACTTATCCAGCTTCCCCACCTGCAACACTGCCACCGAAGTAGAAGGAGAAAGGGGTGGTGACAGAGGGCCCTTCATGCTCCCAAAGGCAGTACCGCTTCTCACCGATGAGCAGGAATCAGACACCTCTGCGCCCCCTCCTGGCTAGTTCTGGCCCCTTTCTTTCTATCCATCCCTTATTCTCTTTCTTTCTGTCACCCTCCCTTTCCTCCTCTCCTTCTCTCTTTCCCTTTTTTCTATTCATCCCTGGTTTCTCTCTCTTCCTCTCCTCCTTTTTCTTTCTCTCTCCCTCCCTTCTCCTTTTCTATCTCTCTCCTTCTTTCTGTTTTTTTTTTCTCTTTCTCTTATGACCCTCTCTCCTTCCTTCTCTCCCTCCCTTATGCCGCCTCTCCTTCCCTTTCTTTTCTCTTTCCCCCTCTTTCTCTTCTCCCCTAGCTCTCTCTCTTGGCCTCAGAGGAAGGCAATGGTGACAACACAATCTGGCCAAGAAAACCCTGATGGTTTTGGCCCAAGAATTCCAAAAGCCAGCTTTTGCCTGAAGTCACATTACATTCAATTTGTAACAATGACAATACATCCTGCATATCAGATATTTACATTACGGTTCATAACAGTAGCAAAATTACAGTTATGAATTAGCAACGAATATAATTTTATGATTGTGGGTCACCACAACATGAGGAACTGTATTAAGGAGTTGCAGCATTAGGAAGGTCGAGAACCACTGCTCTATGAGGAACAGCCCTTGATCACAGACTTCCTCCTTTATTTGATCACCAGCATTTTCTGGTACTTCCTTTTTATGGTGCCGTAAAAAAGCTTCCCACTTAAGTGGTGCCTAATTTCTCTACTCACATTTCACAGCTGTTTTCAAACTGCTTAGCTGGGCTGAAGGTTGGGTGCTCACCCCAATCCAGCTTCGAACTGCCAACCTTTTGATTGATGAGATCTATTGCTGCTGGTGATTAACCAGCAACCCAGTCCTCTTAAAACTATTAGGAGAGACCAACACTCTTATACCAGGAAAGGAGGAAAGGCATACTTTTTGTTAAGGAACATTATGCCCAGAAGGTTACTCCTTGTGTTACTCATTGAATCGCTAGATACTTTGTTACTTACCAAAACCCTTCAGCCTATTAAAAAAACCTTCAAAGATAATGCTGTGAAGTAACTAGAAAAATGTTACTTGACACACCAGAGGATACTAGATATATTATTTTTCAAATGTAGCTTTCTTACGTCCTTATTTCTAAAAGAATAAAAGCTTATCAATTTGTTACTTGCTACATCCCAGTTCTACTTCTTCAGAAAAACCAGAAATCCAGAGGAGAAAACAGAATATGAAACTCCATATAGCAGCTATTTAATATAGCCCCAGTGACACAGTGGGCTAAACCCTGGTGCCAGGAAGACTGAAGACCGACAGGTCGGAGGTTCGAATCCGGGGAAAGCGTGGATGAGCTCCCTCTGTCAGCATTAGCTCCCCATGTGGGGACATGAGAGAAGCCTCCCACAAGGATGATGAAACATCAAAACATCCAGGCATCCCCTGGGCAACATCCTTTTTATCTCACACCAGAAGCTTCTCAAGTCACTCCTGACACACACAAAAACCTGTTTTATCCAGATCTTAAGTAGTCATATTGTTCCATTTGAAATTTGTTAGCTACTTCCTTCTGATTTTAAAATGCTATATATACCTAACAATCCTCCTGGCTATATCCTTTAAGCTTCAATTAAATTCAATGGAAAAAAACATTAGTTTTAAAACAGAACAGAGATGATGCAAGTGTGATGAAATGATATAGACAAACCTACCTTATGTGAACAGAACTTGCTATTTGAGGGCAGCATTCTTCAACCGCTTTAATTAATCGAGTGAGCGTCATATCAGGCCCCTAAAAGAAGCGGAAGCAAAAAAAGAAACAATACGTCCATAACAAATGCACCAAACACACCCAAAGGAAATTATTACAGCATTATTACCCTTGAATATAGTTTGGAAGCTTGCAAGCAGTAGGAAATAAGGCTACGCTGAACACTCATAGAACCATAGGACCAAACATGGTACACAGATCGATAATTACTCAACTTAAAATACAGGTGGTCGGGGGGGGGGGGGTTGCCACAGGATAATGGGCATTGTAATCCACCCACATCCGGACAGCCACGTGAATCCCACCAACGATGGATCTGAACCAACCGTAGTAAAAAAAAAAAAAACCTTCGTGACCCACCATAAAATACTGGTAGGCTTAGGGGGAATGGTAGAAGATGATGGGAGTTGTAGTTCACCCATATCCAAAGAGTATTGTGAACCCCACCAATGACGAAAGGCACAGCTCTCTTCCAAGCCAGCCAGATGGCACAGACTACTTCCCACAGTGCATCTCCCTTACCCCTTTCCTAGGCAGGCTGGGGATGATGGAAGTTGCAGCCCAAGAAGAAGGCTGAGCTGTCTGACCAGTTAGGAGGACAGTTTCGAGTTGCAGTCGGCCAGATCTATGGCTGATGGGAGTTGAATCCTGGGGAAATCTAGGGCTGATAGGAGTTGCAGCCAGCCAGAATCCAATGCAAGACAGCAGAAGAGCAACTAGAGGGTTGCCATGGAGACCTACATCCCCAGGGTGTGGTCAGTACCTGAGAGATAGAGAAATGACTGCTTTGCGTTACAGTCTGGTACATCAGTTTGCTTATTTAATTAAGTGAAGTGACAGTGGAATACCTTAAAAAACCCATAGGACAAGTCACGTAAAAAGCAACATGATTGACAACTTAAAAATGTGCAGGAAAGAGCCAGCTGTTACCCCAAAGGGCCACCAGAGGGTCGCGGTAAAGAGTCAACTTTTACTACAAGAGCTTGCTAGAGGGTTGCAGTAAAGAGCCAGCTGTTACCCCAAGAGGCCACTAGAGAGTTGTGGTAAACAGCCAGCTGTTACCCCCAAGAGGTCACTGGAGGGTCATGGGAAAGAGCTAGATATTACCCCAAGAGGCCGCTGAAAGGTTGCCATGGAGACCTAAATCAGCTAGATGTGCTCACTACCTGAGGGACAGGGAAAGTACTGCCTTGTGTTTCAGTCTGGTAGGAAAAACATCCCTACAATCATAACACTAGCAATTGTTTTTACTAATAAAGATCATTACAAAATACAAAGCCAGGCAACACAGGGTAACTAAACTAGTATAAATATAAAAGTCAAAGTATGTATGTATGTATGTTGGTTTGCACCATAAAGGCTCCTACATGGTTTAATGGTTCTGGATCAAGCTTGGGACACATTATCCCTTCATTATCCAACTGAAAATGCTGGAAGGGTTTGAAAGGATTGACAGAGGATGATGAGAGTTGTAGCCCATCCACATCCAGAGAACTGTGGGTATCCTACACCCAGACAGCCATGTCTATTTCCAATGGGACCATTCATAACATCCAACACCAGTCAATGACTATCTCTAATAAACAACATTAAAAAACAGCTAACATGGGCATCACCGGGTACCTATGCTAGTATATGTATATTGTGTGTGTGTGTGTTTGTGTGTGGCTTTTTTCCTTAGTGTACTGAAATGAGTGTGTGTCTTATACTCAAAGAAATATGGTGGTCTACTTCCTCAGATACCTGGAGGAAGTAGACTTAGGGTGCATCTACACTGTAGAATTGATTTGACCCCACTTAACCTGCCATGGCTCCATGCTATGGAATCCTGGGAGTTGGAACTGTACAAGGCCTTCAGCTTTGACTATCCCAGAATGCTGGTGCCTTACCAAACTACAAATCCTAGGGCTCCATAGCACTGAGGCATGGCAGTTCAGGAGGTATGCATTTGGCAGTATCAATGACCCTATGAGACCATGGCTTTATGACCTGTGATTATGTGATTTGTTCTATGTGACTATGTAATTTTAATTAATATCACTGTTTAATTGTTATGCAATGGGGGTGAGAAGAGCGGGGTAGAAATGGTCTAATTAATTAATTAATTAATTAATCTAGATTGTTGGATTCATGCAGCTTGACCCCAACTGAAGGCTATGGAATTATATGAGTTGTAGTTTGGCAAGATCTTGTTCCTGGTCAGCCAAAGAGGGCTGGTGCCTCACCTTATTTCCCTCCCTCCCTCCTTCCTTTCCCCTTCCTTCCTTCTTTCCCCCTCTCCCCTTCCTTCCTGCCTTCCCTCCCTCCTTTCCCCTTCCTTCTTTCCTTCTACTGGTCCAACGGGCGGCATCCAGGTTACTAATGGGAGCGGCGCTCAGGGAGCACACTACTCCTCTGTTGCGTCAGCTCCACTGGCTGCCAGTTTGCTACTGAGCACAATTCAAAGTGCTGGTTTTGGCCTATAAAGCCCTAAATGGTTCCGACCCAGCTTACCTGTCTGAAAGTATCTCTTCCTATGAACCATCTATGAGCGTAAGATCGTCTGGGGAGGCCCTGCTCTCAATCCCATCTGCCTCGCAAGCATGATTGGTGGGTATGAGACAGGGCCTTCTTGGTGGTGCCCTCCTCCCCAGCTATGGAACTCCCTCCCCAGGGATATTAGATCATCCCCCTCCCTCCTGACTTTCTGAAAAAAGGTTAAAACTTGCCTTTTTGAGCAAGCATTTGAGAATGCTGCGGAATAGATAATATGGAACTACGCATTGATGAACATGGAATGGCTACACGATGTCACTGGAAACGCTTTTAACAAGATGACACCGATGATTAGATTTTAATGGTTTTTATATATCTTTTTATATTGTTATGTTGATGGTTTTTAATTGCACTTTTATGGATGTATGGCATCGAATTGTGCCAACCTGTAACCCGCCTTGAGTTGCTGTAAAGCTGAGAAAGGCAGGCTATAAATATAGTAAATAAATAAATAATCTTCTGCCTCTCCCCATCCTTCCTGCCTTCCCTCCCTCCCCCTTTCCTCTTCCTTACTTCCCTCCTTTCCCCTCCCTCCCTTCCTTCCAAATTACAACTCGCAGGATTCCATAATAAGGAGCCTGGGGTGAAAATGCATCCAATCCATAGTGCAATCGCCACAGCAAACTAATAATCCCAATACTCCATAGCCAGGGCGGTGAAAGCGATACCGAACTGAGATCATTCTGACGTTTGGATGGTCTCCGAGGCCAGCCTGTTACCCCCCCCCCCCCCGAGAAAATAATAAGAACAGGAAACCTGCAACAAGGGCAGCAGGAGCCGGTTGAGGCGCCGCCTCTCGAGCAGGCTGAGGTGAGGCCCGGCCTGGCTCAGCTCCTCGATCAGCACCATCAGCGCCATCTTGTAAGGGGTGACCCAGTCCTTGATGCCGAAGACGTTGGCGTGCACCACGCCGTTGGTCATCATGGGGTTGAAGTAGAGGCTCTCGTGGACGCTCGCCATGGCAGCGGCTTCTCGCTTTCAGTGGGGGACCGCTAGAGGGCTTGCACACCGGCCTATTCCTTCTCCGACCAATCAGAAAAACGTTCGAGCCTCGCGCGCTCCCCCTGCCGGCCAATCAGCGAGCGGCTCGGGTCCGGCACGTTGTTGGGCCCAGACGGAAACAAAAGGTCGCAACATCTGGGGTTCCGCTTCAAGGACTGGCTTGACACCGTTGGTCTTCTGGAAATTTTGCACTTCAGCTCTCAGAATTCTTGGCCCCTGGACCAGCTGTCTGGAGCTTCTGGGAGTTGTAGTCCCAAAAGCCTGGAAGAGCAAGGTTTGGGAATCACTGACTGGAAATATTAGGCAGGGGGAGGGAATTTCTTCTGGGGAACTTCTACACTGTGGGATGGGTGTAGTTTGGCACCACTTTAGTTGCTCTGGCATCCTGGGATTTGGTGAAGCCCCAGCCTCCTTTGGAAGAGAAACTATATCTCCCGGAATGTGTGAGATCCTGGGAAGCTACATGATTTATGTTTTTAACTTTTAACTTTTCAGCACATTTAATGATATGTTGTGAGCTGCTTGGAGTCTCAAACTAAAGGGAAAGTGGGATATACATTAATATAACAACTAATTTGTGAACAGAATGCTAGGCTAGAAAGGATGCGTAAATATGCAGCACATTGTGGGTGCATCTACACTGTGTAATGAATTAAGATTTCACTGCCACAGCTCAGTGCTACAGAATCCTGTGAATTGTAGTTTTGTGAGGCACCAACACTCCTTGGCAGAGAAGGTGAAAGGTCTTGTTAAACTATAACTCCCATGATTCCATAACATTAAGCCATGGCTGTCATACCGTATTCTTTGGCCCTCCAGGTGTTTTGGACTACAACTCCCACAATTCCTAACAGCCTATCAGGGGTATCTTTCAGTGGAATGTACTTCTCAGGATAGTTTTTGAACTGTATGGCTGTCTGTTGGGAAGGCTTGGATTGTGTTTTTCCTTCCTGGCTGAAGGGGGTTGGACTATATCCCTCTTTGGTGGGGTCTCAGGGTCTCTCCCAGTGGAGTCCCTTTCTCTGGAGGTTTTTAAACAGTGTTTTGATCGAGGAGTGCAAAGGAGCTTTTCCATGCAACACACCTGTAGACTACAGGTAACACACTAGTGTGTCCCAACACACAGTTTAGAAAGCTCTGGCCCAGGGGTGTCCAAACTTTTTAAGCTGAGGGCTAGTTCATGGTCCTGAAATCGATAGGAACTTGAGGAGGGTCTACCCCAGGAGGAGAGACCCTGAGACCCCACCAAAGAGGGATTGCTACTTTGGCAAGCCAAGAGAAGCCTGATTTTCAGCAATTTTATTTCCCTAAAAATCCAGAAGAAATCTCACCAAAGTTGAAGAAGCGCCACCAAGATGTTTTTATTAGCGATTCAGCTGAAAAGGATGCAATGCCGCAATCATTCGCCAAGCAGAGCATGTGGTTACAGAAAACAAAGACATTTTTAAAGGAAATACAGGCTTGTGAGTTTCAAAATTCCTACTCCCCGCCCTCCTCCCGGCACGATGGTGATTGGCTGGCGTGATAACAGCTGGGAGGAGGCTCAGCCGCCCTCCCCGCGCCAGAGCCAATCACAGAGCTCCTGCGGCGAGCAGGAACCTATCAGAAAGTTCCTGCCGCCTCCGCGCTCTGGCGAATCAGAAGGAAGGGAGGCGGGACAAAAAGAAACAATGCTTTCTTGAGTGGATTATGGAATTCCAATGTCCTGGGGCTTCTTGAGACCGGAATTGGCCTTCTAAATAAACTAACTTTATTGTCTTTAGATGGGTCTCCGATAAGTAATGATTACTTAATCCGAGTTTTCCTGTCGCAATCAGATATGACACAAAGAGGAGGCTGGGGTGGATGTCCGTTATGGAGAGGTTTGAAAGAAAAAACGGGGTTGGGGGAAAGAGACTTTTCGAGGGTCGTCTCGACCCCATTGTTATGTGATTAGAAGTTTGCCAAGTGAAAATCCAATTTGATGGCCCAAGTCCGATGTCAAAAAGGATTCTCTGCTCTATTTTCCATGCAAACATGTTTCAAGATAAGAGTTCTTTTATGATTGCTGATTGCCTTTTCAGAGCCAGGGCAGCTTCCTTGTTAACTTCCCCCAAAGAGAGGGGAAGGGGGCAAAAGGTTCAGGGCAAGGTCAGAAATATAAGGGGAAATACATGAGGAAATATAGGAATCACAATAAAATCATATCAGACACCCCCTCCCTTTCCCACCCACCAGAGAATTGATTAAAGTTATAATTCCAGCAAAACATGAGTCCATAGTTCATTCAGGGGGAATTCATAGGTGGAAGCAAGTCCTTTGAAGTCCAAAACACTTGGCAGAAAGTCCAAAGTTTAGTGATTTTCACTGAGCCAGGGGATGGAGTCCTGCAGCGCTAAGATTGAAGTTAGTCCTTGGTCCTTGAGAAACTATAACTCCCTCCAAGGACTGGAGTCCCAAGGCCAGACTGTTCCCTGAAAGCCTCGTGGGGTAGCCACACCAAGTTTCCAGGGCAGGGGCTTCACAAGGACAAAGAAGCGCGAGGGCAGTGGCAGCGCGGCAGCAGCGAGGCTTGGATTTTGACAATCAGCTGTTTCCTTAATATTACATTCTTAAAAATTCAAAAGGTTATTCCCCGAGCGCAAAGGCCCGAAATACAGAAAGCAAGATAGCAGATAGTGTTAGAATTTAGCCAGGAAATATATTCCATCAAAATGGAGCCAATCCGCCATTTCGCGGATACGGGGGCCCGAGGGGTTTCCGTATCCGCGGTTTGGGGGAGCGCAGGTTCGGCCTCCCCAGGACGCCAGGGAGGCATCCCGGGCAGACCTGCAGTCTCCCACAGCCCAGAAAAGGTTAGTTTCATGCACTTTGATAGTTTCAGGCAAGAAAGGGACACAAACTATCAAGCAGGAGAGTTTAAAAGTTACAATTTGATTAATCTTTATTGAGGGATTGGTTACATAGTTGGGGCTGGCAAAGGAGTGAAAGGAGAGAGCATACGGCTGTAAAGAGTCCCTGGTTGAGGCTGCTGCTGGGGCACATTTCATCAGTTTGGCCCAACTTGGCATTCAGGAACTGTGGAACTCCCTGCGGCTGGTCAGATCAGCTTGAAGGCAGGGGTCTGGGATGCCCTCGACGACAGTCCCTCAGCCTGTTGGGGAACCAAACTATAGGTCTTTAAAAAGCATGAACACATTTCTATGCACACTGCATATGTCTTATTTGTAGTGTTAAAAAAACCATGAAAGAACAGTACAATATATCAAACAAAGAACAAATTTTAACCAACATAAACATATCAGTCTTTCAATGGGAAGTGTTGGCTTGCTTTTGGCTGATGAGAGAGTCAAGTTAATTAGGATTGTTGTTGTTGTGGGCCTTCAAGTAATTTCAGATAGTAGCACATGCTGCCTCAGAGTCTGGTGGGGTCTCCTTCTCTGGAGGTTTTTCAGCAGACGGCATGGCCATCTGTCGGGAGGGCTTTGATTGTGGCAGGGGGCTTATAGTGGCTGTCTGGCCCTCCTCTTTTCTTCCCAAGGGAGGGACCTCAATGAAGGGCAGCCTTTTTGAAAAATGCAGGGACACAGCATGAGACGAGACAGAGGCAGCAGCGAGCGCCTGGGGCAAGCAGGGCAATGGGGGGGGGGGCTTCCTTTGCAAAGAAATAAAGAAAAGGTTGCAGAGGAAGAGACAGACAGACAGACAGACAAGGGCCACTGGGATGGGTTGCCCGAGGTTGGAGCCACCCAAGGAGTAGGTGACGCTTAATCAATCTGAAGGGACACAAGAGGCTGACATCCTCCCAAGGAGCCTGCCTTTTCCAGGGTCCTGATCCCCAAAAAAGGAAGGAAGGAATGACGAGAGGAAGAAAGTTAAGAAAGGAAGCAAGCAAGACAAGGGAGGAAGGAAAGAAGCAAAGAAGGGAGGGAGGTCTGGAGAGAGAGGGGGCCAGTGGAAATTTGAACAGGGTCAGCAATTGGTCCCCAGGCCAGTCTTTGGACATGCCTTATCTAGGGGTATTGAAAGACTGGGTTTTGCCCTATACTTTCATTGTTTTTCATTATTTGGCGAAGCACATGCTTTCTTTGCTTTGCATCCCTGAACTCTAACAAGGCTACTAAGAACCCTGGGTGTAATTTTAAGAAGATTGAATGGCATAAAAATAGCCATGCCAGAGAGGTTTACCTTCCCATCCCGGCAGCCTGACAAAGTAATCCTGTTAGTCTTTGCAAAAGCAAAAGCGGGGGAACCTTAAAGGAAGAAAACGTCGAGAGGAAGAGCTTTCCGTCTCTGCCTGTCGGTATTATCCTTTTCATTGCACAACAAAGGTGCCCTTTAGAAGTTGCAATGGTATGGGAAAATAATTTCCAATGTGTTTATATTACACAGTGTTCCTGAAAGGCTGCATCTACATGGTTGAATGAATACAGTTTGGACACCCCTTGAACTGCCACGGCTCCATGCTATGGAAACTGGGAGTTGTAGTTGGACAAAGTATTGAATCTCCTCTGCCAAAGAGACCTGGTACTTCAGCAAACTACAAATCTCATGATTTCCTTGTATTGAGCCATGGCAGTTCAAGTGGTGATAGACTCCAGGCCTACCCAGGGAGTTTTAAATGTATATTCTACTTGTATTTTAATATATTATTATCCTATAATAATATATGGTGCAATGGGTTAAACCCTCGTGCCAGCAGGATTGGAAGGACCAAGGCATTGATATCTCTGGCCCATCTTCAGTTTGAATATCAGCCAGCATACCAACCCAAGAAATAGCTTCCTAAGATCTACAGAAATACTCGCAGGAAAAAAAAGAAAGAAAAAGAAAACTTTATTTGTACCCCGCTAGCATCTCCCAGAGGATTCGATGCGGCTTACAACAGGCAGAGGCCACAACAATACAACATAACAATACAATCAAGCAAATCAAACAATTAAAACAAATTAAAGCAAAATAAACAACAAGCACAGTACATTAAAACACATTATACTGGGCCGGGCCAAAAGGTGGGTACAAGGATTAAAAGTGCTGATTTGACAGGAGGTGTATAAAGGGTTTCTAGGGCAAGTGCAATGTGCAATGTGCAGCAATCATTGGTTCTGGTAAAGTGCTTGTGGGACTCGGTAGTGGAGATTTCCTAATCCTAAACACCTCAGCAAGCGAGAGTCCAAAAGTGGCATGCTAAAACGCAGAACCTCAATCAGTGGCTGAGACCGGATGAGCGACTCCCTCCTGAGCACACAGAAGACTGGGCGACTTTGAAGGCACTGAACTGCAGCCCTCCAGGTGTTTTGGATTTCAACTCCTACAATTCCTTACAGCATCAGGCCACTTCCTTAACCCGCTCAGCTGCTAAGTTGGTCCAGCATTTCTGTGTTCTCAAACAATATGGTGTGCACAGGTTGGTGCATCAGGTGCTCTGTTCTGGCTTTGACTCTTTGCTTGAAAGCCTTCGATAACAAAATGTACTATTTTTGCCATTGATTGTTGTTGTTCATTCGTTCAGTTGCTTCTGACTCTTCATGACCTCATGGAACAGCCCACACCAGAGCTCCCTGTTTATTATTATTATTATTATTATTATTATTATTATTATTATTATTAGACTCCTACAATTGGAAGGGACCCCCAAAGGTCACTTAGTCCAGCCCCTTCCTTCTGCCAGGCAGGAAGATAGAATTATTGCAGGAGCAACAACAACAACAACAACAACAACAACAGTCTCCTGAAGTAAACTGAAGGGCATTGGACTTGAGTTTTGGAGTTGTGGTTTACCTACATCCAGAGAGCACTGTGAACTCAAACAATGATGGGTCTTTACCAAATTTGGCACAAAATCCTGATATGCTGCAAATGGAATACTGGCCTTGGTGTGGCCCCTTGCCCTGCTGCTGCTGCTGCTGCTGCTGCTGCTGCTGCTGCTGCGAAGGGCGAAGGGCGAGGATGAGGAGGCGGAGCTTAGTCTGAATGGAGGGAGGGAGCGGCCAAGTGCCGAAGGAAAGCAGGAAGAAATGGAAAAGCCAGGAAAGGGGAAGGGAGGGAAGGGATCAAGGCAGAAAGAAGGAAGGATGGAAGGAAAGAAGGATATAAGGAAGGAAGGAAAGGGGAAAGAAAGGCAAAAGGAGGGAAGGAAGGATGGAAGGCAGGCAGGCAGGCAGGCAGGCAAGCAGATCGGGGCCTTCCTGCCCCCACCCCCAGCCCCCGGATGCCCCATCTCCATCTGTAGAACTCCAGGGTGTTCGAGGCAGGGCTGGCAGGCAGCGGGAGGCGCGCCTGTCTCTCTTCTCCACACTCCTAGCCTTCAGCTGCTCTCCTCTTGCTGCCCTGCTACTGGCCTGCTGCTGGTCTCCCGTCCGGGGGCAACAGGAGCAGCAAGAGGAGAGTGGCCGAAGGCTAGGAGCGTGGAGAAAAGAGACAGACGCGCCTCCCGCTGCCTGCCAGCCCTGCAGCCTAGCCATGGAGCACCACGCCTCATACACCCTGGAGCTCTACAGGCGGAGATGGAGCATCCGGGGGCTGGAAGGGGGGCAGGAAGGCCCTGATCTGCTTGCCTGCCTTCTCGCTCCCTCCATTCAGACCCGGCACTCACACCGCCCGCGCCTCCGCCTCCCTCTTCCTTCCCAGCCCCCGAGCGGGAGAGGAGCAGCAGCCAGGCTGCTATTGGTTTAGCCGCCCCTGCCAGGGGCCGGATAAATGCGCCCGGTGGGCCGGATCCGGCCCCCGGGCCGTACTTTGGGGACCCCTGCTCTGGATGATCTCCACCCGCGGCTTCATGTAGATGATAAACAACACAGGAGACAGTATGAGCCCTGCGGGACCCCTCAAGTCAATGGTTGCGGGGCCGAACAGGTGTCCCCCAGCAACACCTTCTGAGAACGACCTTCCAAGAAGAACTGGAGCCACTGCAAAACAGTGCCCCTGAGCCTCATTCCCGCGAGGCGTCCCAGAAGGATACTGTGGTCTACGGTACTGAAAGCCACTGAGAGGTCTAAGAGAAACAACAGAGACACACTCCCCTGTCAAGCCCCTTACACAGATCATCCAATGGCTTTTGACCGCACAGACGGATGGGGATGAATAGTGATTTTTATGCTAACGACTTGGCTTTATATAATTATATGATAGTACTTTAATGTGTTTATATTAGTGTATTATTGATGTGATGTTTTTAAACTATTGTGTATGAACCCCCTTATTGTACATCAGCCTGAGTCCCTCATTGGAGGTGAGAAAACCGGTATATAAAAGTTCTAAGTAATAATAATAATAATAATAATAATAATCCACTAAGGAGACCAAGGCTGTTTCAGTTCCATGTCCGGGCCTAAAGCCAGGCTGCAACAGGACTAGAAAAGCAGTTTCTTCCAAGAACATCTGGAGTTGCGAGGTCACCACACATTCCAAGACTCTGTCCAAATAGGGGAGATTGGAAACTGGCCAAAAGTTGTTCAATTGAGTGGGGTCCAGTGATGGTTTTTTCAACAGTGGTTTGATGACGGCCCCCTTTAGGCCTGCTGGAATCTTGCCTTCTTGCAAGGAGGCATTAAGCACCCCCTTCACTCACTCTGCCAAACCCGCTGGCTTCCTTTATCAGCCGGGATGGGCAGGGGTCCAGGATGCGTATGGTCATTCTCGCCTCTCCAAGGATCTTGTCAACATCCTCAGAGAGTGGGGTTTGGATTGAGATACAGGGCTTACAGAGATGATGTTTTATTTTAAAATGTCCTTTCACCTTTCCCCAGTCTCAGCGGCACAAGGGCCACTGGGTTGCAGTTCCCATTATCCACAGTCCACCTGGCAGATCATGAAAAGTGATGGGAGTTGCCATTCAATGACATCTGGGGACCCAAGCTGAGTAAAAACTAAAGACCAGTGACTACTATAAATTAAAAAAACATAGTTGGCCCTCTGTATTCTTGGTTTCATTGTCTATGGATTCAATGGCCCTTTGAAGCGACTATAAGGTTGAGGTGGCCCTCGATGAAAATGAGTTTGACACCCCTGAACCAAGACAGCTATGTCTCTCTTTAGGATTAGAGCCCCTCGACCAATGGCAGGCCTTCTGCCTGCTCTGCCTTTCCATGACCTCACGGCATCTTGGCCAATGAGAGACAGAGGCATGACCCACAGTATCAGACTGGGGAGCGGGGGGGGGGAGAGTGGTCAAATCAAACTTACCGCTTCTGAAAAATCTGGGTTAAATTTTAGCAAGTTGTTCAGCTCCTTCTGCAAAGAGGCTGGAGACAGCACTTTTGTCTCGTCATTTTTCAACAAATATGCCTGGAATTATTTTCAAAAAGAAGAAAAACAACCATCATTCGAGCAAACAGGAAAAAAAGAAACGTGAATCTGCAGGGTTATTATTTTTTTGTAATAAACGACTTAATAATGTTATTATCACCACAGCAACAGAAACCTCCTGCCTCGGGAGAACGGCAAGCAACCGCCTGTGTACAAATTACCATGGAGAGATTGAGCCCAAGCTTTGTAATGCTATGCTCAAAAGGGAGAGGCGCTGGCTAATTTGATTAGGAGTGCTAAAAAGATGGCTTAAGGGATTGAGAGAAGAATGCCACTTTAATGCCGCTTTCTTGCGAGCGATCTGAAGGGAATGCAAGGAAACCCAAAGGCCAGGATGTGGCTTCCCAGATTCTTCCCAACTACCAAAACCTGTCATGTAGGAAGTGGAGAGAAGAAAACCTGTACACACAGATAGATACCTACATAAAAACTCCAACCATCACCCAAGTCAGAAGAAGAAAAACAATTAAAACCCTGGCAGACCGTGCAAAAATAATCTGTGAAGCCCACCTTCTCCAAGGTGAACTGAACCAGCTTAACTGGGCTCTAGGGGCCAATGGAAACCACCACAGACATCAGAACAAGCCACAAGAGTCAAGACAAAGACTCACTCAGAGGAAAAGGGTTTTTACCAAACATCAAGGGAACCACTGACCATATAGGAAAGCTGATGAAGACAAACAACCTGCAAACTATCTGCAGACCCACCAAGAAAATTCAACAAATGCTACGTTCAACAAAGGACAAGAGGGATGCTCTCACCTCTGCAGGAGTCTACTATATACCATGCAGCTATGGACAAGACTACATAGTCCCCACACACAGCAGCATTGCCTAAACACAAATCAAGGAACATGAAAGGCACTGCAGACTAATACAACGAGAAGTCAGCCATAGCAGAGCATCTGATGAACCAACCTGGACACAGCATATTATTTGAGAACACAGAAATGCTGGACCACTCTAACAACCACCATGTCAGACTACACAGAGAAGCCATTGAAATCCACAAGCATGTGGACAATTTCAACAGAAAGGAGGAAACCATGAAAATGAACAAAATCTGGCTACCAGTATTAAAAAAAACTTTAAAATTACAACAGCAAAACAACAGAGGAAAATGGAAACCCAGACAGGAAACAATCAGGGCCAGCAAACACCTCCCAGCAAAGAATTCCACCAAGCAGTAAACAGCCAGGCTTTGAAGCTGCAAGGCTAGTCAATGCTAATCAAGCTGGTCAATTGCAACATTCACACCTGCCTCCAACTGACAAGAGTTTCTCCCATCCTAGACATAATTTTCCACGCACACACATATATACAGTATATATATAATTCTCACTTGCCTAGTTTCCAACAGACTTCACAACCTCTGAGGATGCCTGCCAATGCCATAGATCTGGGCAAAACTTCAGGAGAGAATGCTTCTGGAACATGGCCATGCAGCCCAGAAAACTCTCAGCAACCCAGTGATTCCTGCCATGAAAGCCTTCGACAACACCGTGAAAAACAGTCTTTGTTTGGAGTGGCACTGCTCCTAGGGGTGTACGCTGAGACCTATTTATTTATGTCCTGCTTTTCTCCTAAACGGGGCTCAAATTAGCTTGCAATCTATACATATAAAGTCAATGTATGTTTGTATGTATGTCTAGTTGTACCAACCAATGTTGTTGCCAGGTGAAGTGGCACTTTGTGCCATCTCTGGATTGGCTGTTGCCAGGTGAAGTGGCCTGGTGAAAGAAAGGTGATGGATATATGTATGTATGAGGGGAAGAGAGAAACGATGGAGAAAGTCACATGGAGACATTGCAAGATAGGCTCTCTCAGAAGCTAGAGAAGGGAGAAAGGGGCGGGTCTGCGGAAAGAAAGGAAGAAAGAGAAAAGGAAGGGAAGGGAAGGAAAAGGAAGAGAGTTTGGGGAATGGAGGGAGGAAGCCACTAGAAAGATAGCTACCTGAAGCTTAACCCTGTCAAGACACAAATGTGTGCTTTCCACCTAGGGTTCATGGAGCCAATAGGAAATTGAGAGTTATCTGGGAAGGCCAAGAACTCAAACACTGTTCCCACCCTAAATATCAAGTTTCATGAGAACCACCACTCCTCTTAATGTTCCTCCAGCAACAGCAAGAATATCCCTGTGAGCAGAAAAATCAGGCAGTTTCAACTGGGTGGCTCCCCACGAGGGTCTTCCTCCAGGAGCAAACCAAGAATGGGCAATGTGGAAATCCATGAACAGACTCAGAAGTGGAGTGAGCAGATCAAAGGACAACCTGGCAAAATGACACCACCTAGAAGAATCCTCCACTTTGTGTGACTGTAGAGCAGAACAAACAACTCTGCATCTGGTTTGCTGTAAGTTTTTCGAGCTGTATGGCCATGTTTTTCAGGCTGTATGAAACATGGCCATAAATCCCAAAAAACTTAAAACAACTCAGTGATTGCAGCCATGAAAGCCTTTGACAACACAACTCTGCATCAGAGCGGGTGCTCTGATGCCCAGGTAATATCATGTATTTATGCTAGTGCAAACTAAAATAGAATCTCTAAGAGAACATGATGTACAAACATTTGAAAAGCATTTATCCATAAAAATCAATTACAACACTACTCTCAGTGAACAAGAACAGCCACCATAGATAATATTAAGCATCTCTATCAAGGGAGATCCATAACTGACATACCTGCTGGGACAGAAAGTATTCTGCTTGTTTCTGGGAGAGTGGCCCATTGCAAGAGATTTCTTCCTCCCTTGAAACAAAACACAAGACCCAACAAAACCTATAAACTTTAAAATCATTTTTAAACGACAGTATATATCTATACACATAATAAAAGTGAAAATATATGTGTGTGTAGCTGGGGTGCCCACTTACCCAGACAAGCTCCTGCCTCCACAAACAGCTCTTGCTCCCACTACTCAGGAAACACCAAAGGCGCTCCCTCCAGTGACATTGCAGGTTATTGTGAGAACCATGAACATGTCCAAGAGCCCTGCCAATGTCCTCCACAAACACAATCCTGCCCACCACCCAAGTGAAGGCTTTCATACGGGGACAATTCCATCCCAGATTTTCTGGTTTTCCTTCACCACAGACATCCCAGTGTTTCTGACTCTCTCCATTGGTGTGGTATTTGTATGATCCTGCCCATTGCCTCTCCCATAACCCCTCCCTACTCTTTTCTATGGCACACAGCAAACAGAGGAATTGATCAGCAACTGAACATACTGGAGAGGTTTGGGGAGAATTCACCATGATTCATAGGAGTTGTAGGCCCTGGGATGTATAGTTCACCTGCAATCTAAGACCTACACTCTGAACTCCATCAATGATAGACCTGGAACTAACTTGGCAGATCAACCTCCCTCCCAGAGGGTGGGGGTGGGTGATATGGGGGGTTTAAATGGATAATTAATTAAGATATACAGTAAAGGGAGTCACAATTGGAACTTGTATCCAGCCATAAAGATTGTAAACATTTTTTATGTTATCTTTTAGATGGCTAAAGTTCATATTGTATTGTTTTGTTATCTGTATGAAGAAATAAATTTAAAAAATAAAAAAAACTTGGCAGACCAACCAAATATACTAGAGGTTTTTAGAGAGATTTATAGGAGTTGTAGTTCACCTACATCCAAGCGCACTATGACCCCAAACAATGATGGATCTGGACTAAACTTGGCATGCATACCCAATATGCCCAAATTTGAATACTGGTGGGTTTTGAGGGGAATTGGCCTGGACATTTTGGAATTGTAGGTACTGGGATTTATAGTTCACCTGCAATCAATGAGCACTCTGAACTCCACCAAAGATGGAATTGGACCAAACTTGGCACACAGAACCCCCATGACCAACAAAACATACTGGAGGTCTTTGGAGGGATTTATAGGAGTTGTAGTTGTAGTTCACCTACATCCAGAGCACATATGAACCCAAACACTGGTGGATCTGGATCAAACTTGGCACACACACCTGATATGCCGAAATGTGATTACTGGAGGGATTTGGGGGGGGGGGGGGACTGACCTTCCTTTCTGGGAGTTGTAGTTCACCCACAACCAGAGAGTTTGTAACATCCACTGATGGACCTGGACCAAACTTGGCACACAGAACCCCCATGACTAACTCAACCTACTGGAGAGGTTTCAAGGGACTGACCCAATATAGTGGGAGCTATAGTTTAACCTACAGCCAGAGAGCACACTGAACCTCATTGATGATATATCTATAGCAAACTTGTCCAACATAACAAACTTTAAGTACTGATGGAATTTCTCCAGGTTAACCTAGCATGACGTGAGTTGTAGTTCACCCGCAAACTTGTGCATTTTGTACAATTAAAATATTGACTTTTTCAAATAACCCGGGCAATACCGAGCAATAGCGTCATATAAAACAAAGCAAATAGTTACGTTTTCGAGTATATATTTAGTTATCCTAAAGTGACATTGGGTAGTCAATTAAAAAGGATGTATAAAAGTATAAGGTGCAGCTACAAGAACTGTAAATTTATGCTTTATATATGTCTAATTGCCAACATCAATATTCAAGAAGATGACTATGTGATGTCCTTTTTGTGTGAATATGCACCAGATGATATCAACTGTAAATAATATGATTAAAAGTGTAAGTAGAAAATATAAGGTACTCCACATACAACCACATTTCTCTGGCCTTGAAATTAATACACCAACTGCACACTGGAGAAAAATATACTTTGGAAAGAGAACACATGCATGCCTAAGTCACTAAGCAGATTCCAGCTATTCTTTTATGTGTCAAATAGGGAAGAGGCTACTAACAAAGGCTTCCAACACACCCATCTCTGATCAAGCGAAACGAGAGTAAGGCATTTCACGAAGAAACCATTAGAGCACCTGAGAGGCTCGTCAAATTCTTCCTTCTCCATTTTGCCATCCAGTTCCTCACAGTGGGTTAGTTCCATCTCCGTCTCCTCCTGCCTGTTTTTCTTCTCGTCGCTTTGGAAGTACTGCTGGAGCGCTGTGTAAAGCTTGTACACTTGGCTGAAGGAGAGCTTGTTGTAGGCCAGGATCATGTGGCGCAGAAAGAGGCCTGTGTGAGTAGAGCAAGGGTTTTATTGACACCAATATATATCTATAGAGCAGGAATGGGCAAACCCAGGTCAGGGGGTCGGATGTGGCCCCTTGAGCTTTTTTTCTTAAGCCCTCCTCTCTCCCACTGTCCTATCCTTCTTTCCTTCCTCCTTCCCTCCCTTTGTTACCTCCATCTTTCTCCTTCCCTTCTTACTTTTCTTCCGCCCTTTCGTCCTTCCTTCTTTCCCTCTTTCCTCCCTCGTCCCCTCTCTCCCTTTTTTCCTTCCTTCCTTCCCTTTAATATTTTCCTTCCTTCTCTCTTTCCTCCCTCCATTCCCTTCTACTCTTTCACCCTTCTCTTCCTTTTTCCTCTCTTCCTTCTCTTTTTTCCTTCCTCCTTTCCTCTTGGGGATGTTTAGCTGGGAGAAGAGAAGGTAGAAAGGGAACCTGGGAACCATGTTTCAAGATTTCAAAGGGTGCCCCATTGAGGAGGAGGGGAAGGGAAAATGATTTTCTGCTGCTTTAGAGGCCAGGGCACCAGGGAGCAATGGGTTCAAATGGCAGGGAAAGAGATTCTATTGAAAAGATTAGGAAGAACTTCCTGAAGAGTGGCATAGGCTGCCTCGGAGTGTGGTAGAGTCTCCTTCTCTGGAGGCTTTTCCACAGAGGCTGTCTATTGGGAGTGATTTGATTGTGCCTCCCTGCATGGCAGGGGATTGGACTAGATGGCCCTTGGGGGTCTCTTCCAACTCTAGGATTCTAGATCAGAAGTAGGCAATATGGGTCTAATAAATACACTTTTTGTCTCCCATCCACCATCTCATCCTGACCAAGGCTAAGCCTTTTGGTCTTTCCTTCACTTTCTGCTTCCAAAAAAGAAGAGGAAAGGGAGGAAAGGGCAGGGAGGGGACTGGGGGAGTACCCTCACCATCCCGGACCACCCACCTCACTCCAGCCCGCCATGCATCCCCCAAGTTAGACAGTTTGCCCATTCCTCCTGTAGTTAGCTTAGAGCAGTTGAGAGGGCATCAGATTGTCCTAATCATCCATTCATAGAATCATAGAATAATAGAGTTGGAAGAGACCACATGCGCCATCTAGTCCAACCCCTGCCATGCAGGAAAAGCACAATCAAAGCACCCCTGAAAGATGGCCATCCAGCCTCCAAGATAGAAGCTTCCACTGGACTCTGAGGCAGAGAGTTCCACTGCTGAATGGCTTAGGAAGTTCTTCCTAATGTTCTGGTGGAATCTCCTTCCCTGTAATTTGAACCCATGGCTCCACTGAGTCTTAGTTTCCAGGGCAGCAGAAAATAAGCATGCTTTCTCTTCCTCATGATATCCTTTCACATATTTGATGGCCATGTATAAATATGTGAGGGGAAGTCATAGGAAGGAGGGAGTAAGCTTGTTTTTTGCTGCCCTGGAGACAAGGACGAAATGGAGCAATGGATTCAAACTACAGGAAAGAACGGAGATTCCACCTGAACATGAGGAAGAACTTCCTGTCTGTGAGAGCTGTTCAGCAGTGGAACACTCTGCCCTGGAGTGTGGTGGAGGCTTCTTCTTTAGAGGCTTTTAAACAGAGGCTGGATGGCCATGCGATTTTCCTGTTTTCTGGCAGAATGGGGTTGGACTGGATGGCCTACAAGGTCTCCTCAAACTCTATGATTCTATTATTTATACATGGCTATCATGTCTCCTCTTCTGAGGGCTAAACAGACCCAGCTCTTTAAGATGCTCCTCAGAGGGATTCATGGTCTCTGGACATTTGATCCTTTTAGTCTCCCTCTTCTGGACACATCCCAGCTTGTTAATATCTCTTTTAAATTGTGGTACCCAGAATTGGACACAGTATTATTCCAGGTAAAAAGGTATAAGCATGGCAGAATAGAGTGACTTCCCTTGATCTAGATACTAGACTCCTTTTGATGCAGCCCAGAATCCCATTGGCTTTTTTTGCTGCTGCATCTCATTGTTGTCTCATGTTCAGCTTGTTGTCCACGAAGACTCCAAGGTCTTTTTCACATGTGACTCAGTTGTTGAGCCAGGTGTCACCCATTCTGTATTTTTGCATTTCATTTTTTTCTGCCTAAGTGAAGTATCTTACATTTGTCCCTTTTGTTACTTTTGGCCAATCAGCTCTCTAATCTGTCAATCATTTTGAATTCTGAGCCAGTCCCCGGTTTGCAATTGCCCCTTTCACCACTACAGGGAGCTGTTCTACATGATGCGAATATACTTATTTGTTGTATTCTATTGTTATACTATATAATTACATTGTATTATATTTATATTATTATATAAATATAATAAAATATAGATACATACTGTACTGATTTTAGAGTTTTAAGCCATAGGAGAACACCTGATGAACCAAGCTGGACACAGCATATTATTGGAGAACACAGAAATGCTGGACCACTCTAACAGTCACCATGTCAGACTATGCAGAGAAGCCATTGAAATCCACAAGTATGTGAACAATTTCAACAGAAATGAGGAAACAGTGAAAATGAACAAAACCTGGCTACCGGTATTTTAAAAACTAAAATCAGGATAGTAAATAAACAACAACACTCAGAAAACAGGGGAATTCCAGACAGAAACATTCAGGGCCAGCTAACACATCTCAACAAAGGATTCCCCCTGGGCAGGAAGCAGCCAGGCTTTGAAGCTGCCAGGCTATTTGATGCTAATCAAGGTGGCCAAATGCAACATTCACTCTTGCCTCAAACAAACAAGATTTCTTTCTCCCACCCTGGACATTCCACAGATATATAAACCCACTTGCCTAGTTTCCAACAGACCTCACAACCTCTGAGGATGCCTGCCATAGATGTCAGCGAAACATCAGGAGAGAATGCTTCTGGAACATTTATTTCTTTATTTATTTGAAACATTTATATTCCGCCCTTCTCACCCCGGACGGAGCACAACATACAAACAGCAAACATTCCATGCCAGGACATAAAATAAGTATAAATATACACAGACATTAAAATCAATCATCTCTACTTTAAAATCAGCTGTTTAAAACCATCTCAAGACACCATGCTGGCTTCGGTCAGTGGAGTGGGTTCTCTATTATTGCATCATTGCACTGTTCCAAATGCTTGGTCCCACAGCCAGGTCTTTACCATCTTTCTGAAGGACAGAAGGGAGAGGGCTGATCTAATGTCACCAGGAAGGGAATTCCATAGCCGGGGCAATCACTGAGAATGCCCTGTTTCTCGTCCCCGCTAAATGCACCTGTGATGGTGGCAGGACCAAGAGCAGGGCCTCCCTAGAAGATCTTAGTCTTTGCGGTGGTTCATAAAGGAAGATGCATTCAAATAGGTAAACTGGGCCAGGGCCATTTAGGGCTTTATAAGTCAAAGTCAGCACTTTGAATTGTGCCCGGTAGCAAACAGGCAGCCAGTGGAGATGACTTAACATGGAAGTTGCATGCTCCCTGTATGCTGCCCAAGTTATTAACCTGGCTGCCTCTTGTTGGACTATTTGAAGCTTCTGAACAGTCTTCAAAGGCAACCCCATGTAGAGCGCATTGCAGTAGTCTATCCTGGACCACCATGGCCAGACAGCCCAGAAAACTCACAGCAACCCAACAAACAAAGACTACGTCTGATAACTAGAACTACAGAATCCCTAACCCAAGCATCACTGGGTCCCACTTCCAGCTACAAGAAACCTTGTTCAGCTATATTCAAGTTGAGCCTAACAACATAATGTGCATGTGCTCGGAAAAGGCAACTGCCTAGAAATTTAAAAAATGATTACTGACAACTACCATAATAACATGGGACATTTTTGGCAATTCATGGAGATTTGTCTCCTACTGCCTGGCTGAAGCAAAGTGAAATCAGTTCATTCCTGCCCAGCAGTCATTCAGAAATAACTTGGTATCCTGTATGTATCTACGGCCCCATCTAAACCGACCATTAATGTAATTCAAAGATAGCTTCCAACTGTGACACCCAGACAACACACTCCCACAAAAGTGAACAAAAGGAAGCCCTTAATGAGTCTGTGCTCTATGGCTTGTGTCATCACCATCCGGACCTCAAACTGGTTCCAGGATTTCCTACATAATCCTTGGCACAGTAAAACCACTTTCTTCAATATTGGTTTGAAATTGCATTAAATGGGCAATGTAGATGAGAGCCCTCGGTACTTGGAAGCTTCTCCAATTGTAAGGATTGTTTTGGATGCTTATATCAGAAATGATACAGTACCCACAACACTTGTCTTGTGAACTTCAGGTTCCGTCCCACTGAACGCCTCCGAAAGCTCATCGAAGAATTCCTCCATGTCTTTCAGTTCCCCACTTGCCATCAGCTTTATCCTGTGCATGAAGGAAGCAAGAATTTTTTTCCAAGTTGAACTATCTACCTAATGCAAAAAAATGTTATTCCAGAGGTCATTACACAGCAGCTACCACTATCTCCACCTTTAGCTAGGCAGGCTAGAGCTAATGAGAACTGCAGTTCAGAAATATCTGGAGGACGACCTGATTCCCACCATCAGACTCTACCCAGAAGGCCTTCTCAAATAAGGGGGAGGAAAATCATGCTAACAGGCTCCATTTGGAGTCCAACGTGAGCAGCGTTGCTTAGGGCTTCTTAAACTTTTTCCACTTGTGAGCCCTTTTCATCTGAGAACTCTTTACATGACTCAAGGTATATATGAAAGGTATAAAACTCAAACATTTACAGGCTGATTTCCCTTTTTGTGGAGTCCAGTTGAATAATCTTTTGCAGACTCCACTGTAAATGCTGCACGCTTTTGCCAACAGATTTGTGTGAATGGGTGGCATTCAGAAACTTTTTACTGTTGCCCATTATTATTATTATTATTATTACTATTATTATCCTCTTGGCTTTATTGTTGTTGTTATTATTGTTATTATTATTAGGATCCCATTTGGGGTTGGGACCACAATTTAAAAAGCAATGCCCTAAAATGACTGTGAGCCATTTCATCCCATGTAGCTCCTGATGACTAAGAGCCAGATACCGATACATTTCTTCCCTCCGAGTACCTTTGACTTAAGCATCAGCTGCAAAAACACAGGAAAAGGCTTCATGAACCTTCAAAGAACACATTTGGGATGATGAGGGTTTTTTTTGTGTGTGTGTCAGGAGCGACTTGAGAAACAGCAAGTTGCTTCTAGTGTGAGAGAATTGGCCATCTGCAAGGACTTTGTCCAGGGGATGCCCTTATGTTTTACCATCTTGTGGGAGGCTTCTCTCATGTCCCCACATGAGAAGCTAGAGCTGACAGATGGGAGCTCACTCCACTCCCCGGATTCGAATCACAGTCAGCGGTCCTGCCAGCACAAGGGTTTAACTCATTGTGCCACTAGGATGATGAGACACTATACAGCTAGCTATATATGAGCACAGCCAAGGCCGTTTTGTTGTTTGGTGCCTTCAAATTATTTCTGACTTACAGCAACTAAAAAGTGACCCCCTCACAGGTTTTCTCAGCAAGATTTGTTTAGAGAATGTATGCTCTTGCCTTCCTCTGAGGCTGAGAGAATGTGATTTCTCCAAAGGCAGAGTTGAAAGAACTTAGATGGTATACTTGAAGTGACTGGATTGATCTTGAAGGAGCTGAGGGTGGTGACGACCGACAGGGAGCTCTGGCATGGACTGGTCCATGAAGTCACGAAGAGTTGGAAACGACTGAATGAATGAACAACAACAAACAAGTTATTGATTTATTTGCAGCACTTATATTTCGCCCTTCTCACCCTGAAGGGGACTCAGGGCAGATCACAGAACACATACACGGCAAACATTCAATGCCGTTAAACAGACAGGACAAACAACAGATAGAGGTGTATGTTGGCATTTTTCCCAACTTCAGCATCCTGGAGATTATGCTCAATTCTGGCCAAAGGGGGATGCTGTTGCTCCATCCTCCATGACAGCAGTTCTCAACCTGGGGGTCGCAACCCCTGGGCGGGGGTCAATCGGCCGCCAGAGGAGGGCGTGCCACCACTTCCTTCAGTTCTGCCTCTACCGCCTCCTCTGAATAGCTGCCAGACCCCTTCTCCTTCTCCCCCTTTTCCCTCTTTTATTTCTCTTCCTTTGGTGATGGTGCTGCGGGCGGGGGAGCTGGAGATGCAGAGTGCCAGTCTGCTGCAGCTGTGGAAGAAGAAGCAGGCAGAGCTGCGGGCAGACGGGTTGAGTCTGCTCTCGCCAGAGGGCAGCAAAGGGCGGCGGGAAGGAGATGTGCTTCAGCAGGTGAAGAAAGAGGGGAAGGAAGCAGAGGGAGAAGAGAAAGAGGCCCAGAAGCCCCGGCAGAGGAGGGAGCCCATGTCCGCGCCCCACACCAAGGCACCCACACACTGCCTGAGACATGCGTGCAACCAGGGACACCAGACTGAATTGTGGCTCTTTTGCTTCCTGATTGGGAGCATGAATAGGAAAGCTACAGGGGACCAGATCCAGATCTTGACTACACCAGTATTCTATCAGACGGCAAGCATTGCCAACCATTGCCCCTCCGAAAGAGACCAAAAAGGGACTGGGAGCTGCACTCTGAAGTTAGCTGGGGAAGCCTCCTCTCTCCCTCCTTTCGTCCCCGCAATTTGGAGACACATTGGCCGCTATCAACAAATGGAAGCAAAATGGAGGAGAGACAAGGAGGTGGAGGAGGAGAAGGCAGCGTGAAGGAACAGGGCTTTGGTTGGAGCCCAACCCCGACGCGCACAGGGAAGAGCAAGAAGCCCCTCTCTACTTGCCAAGGGGTCACTCTGCCTCTCCCTTTTTCAGGTGGCCCTGAGTTCCTTGGCAGCACCACCTGGCATACCAGCTGAGTTGAGCGAACAAGTGAGCTCTCCTTTTCTTCTTCTCCTTCTTTCCTCATCAAACTTTACTGGATAGGGTCTCCTCAATGGAAGAAGCGTTGCCTTTTGGTTCTGCTGGGCTTGGTCTTCTCGGTCCTTTTCTATGTCTCAAGTGGCACGTGGGTGCCTTGGCGCGGGGCGTGCACATGGGCTCCCTCTTCTCCCGGGGCTTCCAGACCCCTTCCTCTTCTCTCTCCACTTCCTCCCCCTCTTCAGTAGTAGGAGGAAGGGGACAGAGAAGGCCAAGCCCAGCAGGACAAAAAGGCAGAGACTCTTCCACCAAGGAGACCCCATCTGGTAAAGTTTGACGAGGAAAGGAGAAGAAGGAAAGGAGAGCTTGCTTGTTCGCTTGACTCTACCGGTGCGCTGGGTGCTGCTGCCAAGAAACTCAGGGCTGCCTGAAGAAGGGAGAGGCTGCGGCCCAGCGAGAGCAGGCTAAGCCCATCTGCCCACAGCTCTGCCTGTTTCTTCTTCCACAGCTCCAGCAGGCTGACGCTTTACTTATCCAGCTTCCCCACCTGCAACACTGCCACCGAAGTAGAAGGAGAAAGGGGTGGTGACAGAGGGCCCTTCATGCTCCCAAAGGCAGTACCGCTTCTCACCGATGAGCAGGAATCAGACACCTCTGCGCCCCCTCCTGGCTAGTTCTGGCCCCTTTCTTTCTATCCATCCCTTATTCTCTTTCTTTCTGTCACCCTCCCTTTCCTCCTCTCCTTCTCTCTTTCCCTTTTTTCTATTCATCCCTGGTTTCTCTCTCTTCCTCTCCTCCTTTTTCTTTCTCTCTCCCTCCCTTCTCCTTTTCTATCTCTCTCCTTCTTTCTGTTTTCTTTCTCTTATGACCCTCTCTCCTTCCTTCTCTCCCTCCCTTATGCCGCCTCTCCTTCCCTTTCTTTTCTCTTTCCCCCTCTTTCTCTTCTCCCCTAGCTCTCTCTCTTGGCCTCAGAGGAAGGCAATGGTGACAACACAATCTGGCCAAGAAAACCCTGATGGTTTTGGCCCAAGAATTCCAAAAGCCAGCTTTTGCCTGAAGTCACATTACATTCAATTTGTAACAATGACAATACATCCTGCATATCAGATATTTACATTACGGTTCATAACAGTAGCAAAATTACAGTTATGAATTAGCAACGAATATAATTTTATGATTGTGGGTCACCACAACATGAGGAACTGTATTAAGGAGTTGCAGCATTAGGAAGGTCGAGAACCACTGCTCTATGAGGAACAGCCCTTGATCACAGACTTCCTCCTTTATTTGATCACCAGCATTTTCTGGTACTTCCTTTTTATGGTGCCGTAAAAAAGCTTCCCACTTAAGTGGTGCCTAATTTCTCTACTCACATTTCACAGCTGTTTTCAAACTGCTTAGCTGGGCTGAAGGTTGGGTGCTCACCCCAATCCAGCTTCGAACTGCCAACCTTTTGATTGATGAGATCTATTGCTGCTGGTGATTAACCAGCAACCCAGTCCTCTTAAAACTATTAGGAGAGACCAACACTCTTATACCAGGAAAGGAGGAAAGGCATACTTTTTGTTAAGGAACATTATGCCCAGAAGGTTACTCCTTGTGTTACTCATTGAATCGCTAGATACTTTGTTACTTACCAAAACCCTTCAGCCTATTAAAAAAACCTTCAAAGATAATGCTGTGAAGTAACTAGAAAAATGTTACTTGACACACCAGAGGATACTAGATATATTATTTTTCAAATGTAGCTTTCTTACGTCCTTATTTCTAAAAGAATAAAAGCTTATCAATTTGTTACTTGCTACATCCCAGTTCTACTTCTTCAGAAAAACCAGAAATCCAGAGGAGAAAACAGAATATGAAACTCCATATAGCAGCTATTTAATATAGCCCCAGTGACACAGTGGGCTAAACCCTGGTGCCAGGAAGACTGAAGACCGACAGGTCGGAGGTTCGAATCCGGGGAAAGCGTGGATGAGCTCCCTCTGTCAGCATTAGCTCCCCATGTGGGGACATGAGAGAAGCCTCCCACAAGGATGATGAAACATCAAAACATCCAGGCATCCCCTGGGCAACATCCTTTTTATCTCACACCAGAAGCTTCTCAAGTCACTCCTGACACACACAAAAACCTGTTTTATCCAGATCTTAAGTAGTCATATTGTTCCATTTGAAATTTGTTAGCTACTTCCTTCTGATTTTAAAATGCTATATATACCTAACAATCCTCCTGGCTATATCCTTTAAGCTTCAATTAAATTCAATGGAAAAAAACATTAGTTTTAAAACAGAACAGAGATGATGCAAGTGTGATGAAATGATATAGACAAACCTACCTTATGTGAACAGAACTTGCTATTTGAGGGCAGCATTCTTCAACCGCTTTAATTAATCGAGTGAGCGTCATATCAGGCCCCTAAAAGAAGCGGAAGCAAAAAAAGAAACAATACGTCCATAACAAATGCACCAAACACACCCAAAGGAAATTATTACAGCATTATTACCCTTGAATATAGTTTGGAAGCTTGCAAGCAGTAGGAAATAAGGCTACGCTGAACACTCATAGAACCATAGGACCAAACATGGTACACAGATCGATAATTACTCAACTTAAAATACAGGTGGTCGGGGGGGGGGGGGTTGCCACAGGATAATGGGCATTGTAATCCACCCACATCCGGACAGCCACGTGAATCCCACCAACGATGGATCTGAACCAACCGTAGTAAAAAAAAAAAAAACCTTCGTGACCCACCATAAAATACTGGTAGGCTTAGGGGGAATGGTAGAAGATGATGGGAGTTGTAGTTCACCCATATCCAAAGAGTATTGTGAACCCCACCAATGACGAAAGGCACAGCTCTCTTCCAAGCCAGCCAGATGGCACAGACTACTTCCCACAGTGCATCTCCCTTACCCCTTTCCTAGGCAGGCTGGGGATGATGGAAGTTGCAGCCCAAGAAGAAGGCTGAGCTGTCTGACCAGTTAGGAGGACAGTTTCGAGTTGCAGTCGGCCAGATCTATGGCTGATGGGAGTTGAATCCTGGGGAAATCTAGGGCTGATAGGAGTTGCAGCCAGCCAGAATCCAATGCAAGACAGCAGAAGAGCAACTAGAGGGTTGCCATGGAGACCTACATCCCCAGGGTGTGGTCAGTACCTGAGAGATAGAGAAATGACTGCTTTGCGTTACAGTCTGGTACATCAGTTTGCTTATTTAATTAAGTGAAGTGACAGTGGAATACCTTAAAAAACCCATAGGACAAGTCACGTAAAAAGCAACATGATTGACAACTTAAAAATGTGCAGGAAAGAGCCAGCTGTTACCCCAAAGGGCCACCAGAGGGTCGCGGTAAAGAGTCAACTTTTACTACAAGAGCTTGCTAGAGGGTTGCAGTAAAGAGCCAGCTGTTACCCCAAGAGGCCACTAGAGAGTTGTGGTAAACAGCCAGCTGTTACCCCCAAGAGGTCACTGGAGGGTCATGGGAAAGAGCTAGATATTACCCCAAGAGGCCGCTGAAAGGTTGCCATGGAGACCTAAATCAGCTAGATGTGCTCACTACCTGAGGGACAGGGAAAGTACTGCCTTGTGTTTCAGTCTGGTAGGAAAAACATCCCTACAATCATAACACTAGCAATTGTTTTTACTAATAAAGATCATTACAAAATACAAAGCCAGGCAACACAGGGTAACTAAACTAGTATAAATATAAAAGTCAAAGTATGTATGTATGTATGTTGGTTTGCACCATAAAGGCTCCTACATGGTTTAATGGTTCTGGATCAAGCTTGGGACACATTATCCCTTCATTATCCAACTGAAAATGCTGGAAGGGTTTGAAAGGATTGACAGAGGATGATGAGAGTTGTAGCCCATCCACATCCAGAGAACTGTGGGTATCCTACACCCAGACAGCCATGTCTATTTCCAATGGGACCATTCATAACATCCAACACCAGTCAATGACTATCTCTAATAAACAACATTAAAAAACAGCTAACATGGGCATCACCGGGTACCTATGCTAGTATATGTATATTGTGTGTGTGTGTGTTTGTGTGTGGCTTTTTTCCTTAGTGTACTGAAATGAGTGTGTGTCTTATACTCAAAGAAATATGGTGGTCTACTTCCTCAGATACCTGGAGGAAGTAGACTTAGGGTGCATCTACACTGTAGAATTGATTTGACCCCACTTAACCTGCCATGGCTCCATGCTATGGAATCCTGGGAGTTGGAACTGTACAAGGCCTTCAGCTTTGACTATCCCAGAATGCTGGTGCCTTACCAAACTACAAATCCTAGGGCTCCATAGCACTGAGGCATGGCAGTTCAGGAGGTATGCATTTGGCAGTATCAATGACCCTATGAGACCATGGCTTTATGACCTGTGATTATGTGATTTGTTCTATGTGACTATGTAATTTTAATTAATATCACTGTTTAATTGTTATGCAATGGGGGTGAGAAGAGCGGGGTAGAAATGGTCTAATTAATTAATTAATTAATTAATCTAGATTGTTGGATTCATGCAGCTTGACCCCAACTGAAGGCTATGGAATTATATGAGTTGTAGTTTGGCAAGATCTTGTTCCTGGTCAGCCAAAGAGGGCTGGTGCCTCACCTTATTTCCCTCCCTCCCTCCTTCCTTTCCCCTTCCTTCCTTCTTTCCCCCTCTCCCCTTCCTTCCTGCCTTCCCTCCCTCCTTTCCCCTTCCTTCTTTCCTTCTACTGGTCCAACGGGCGGCATCCAGGTTACTAATGGGAGCGGCGCTCAGGGAGCACACTACTCCTCTGTTGCGTCAGCTCCACTGGCTGCCAGTTTGCTACTGAGCACAATTCAAAGTGCTGGTTTTGGCCTATAAAGCCCTAAATGGTTCCGACCCAGCTTACCTGTCTGAAAGTATCTCTTCCTATGAACCATCTATGAGCGTAAGATCGTCTGGGGAGGCCCTGCTCTCAATCCCATCTGCCTCGCAAGCATGATTGGTGGGTATGAGACAGGGCCTTCTTGGTGGTGCCCTCCTCCCCAGCTATGGAACTCCCTCCCCAGGGATATTAGATCATCCCCCTCCCTCCTGACTTTCTGAAAAAAGGTTAAAACTTGCCTTTTTGAGCAAGCATTTGAGAATGCTGCGGAATAGATAATATGGAACTACGCATTGATGAACATGGAATGGCTACACGATGTCACTGGAAACGCTTTTAACAAGATGACACCGATGATTAGATTTTAATGGTTTTTATATATCTTTTTATATTGTTATGTTGATGGTTTTTAATTGCACTTTTATGGATGTATGGCATCGAATTGTGCCAACCTGTAACCCGCCTTGAGTTGCTGTAAAGCTGAGAAAGGCAGGCTATAAATATAGTAAATAAATAAATAATCTTCTGCCTCTCCCCATCCTTCCTGCCTTCCCTCCCTCCCCCTTTCCTCTTCCTTACTTCCCTCCTTTCCCCTCCCTCCCTTCCTTCCAAATTACAACTCGCAGGATTCCATAATAAGGAGCCTGGGGTGAAAATGCATCCAATCCATAGTGCAATCGCCACAGCAAACTAATAATCCCAATACTCCATAGCCAGGGCGGTGAAAGCGATACCGAACTGAGATCATTCTGACGTTTGGATGGTCTCCGAGGCCAGCCTGTTACCCCCCCCCCCCCCGAGAAAATAATAAGAACAGGAAACCTGCAACAAGGGCAGCAGGAGCCGGTTGAGGCGCCGCCTCTCGAGCAGGCTGAGGTGAGGCCCGGCCTGGCTCAGCTCCTCGATCAGCACCATCAGCGCCATCTTGTAAGGGGTGACCCAGTCCTTGATGCCGAAGACGTTGGCGTGCACCACGCCGTTGGTCATCATGGGGTTGAAGTAGAGGCTCTCGTGGACGCTCGCCATGGCAGCGGCTTCTCGCTTTCAGTGGGGGACCGCTAGAGGGCTTGCACACCGGCCTATTCCTTCTCCGACCAATCAGAAAAACGTTCGAGCCTCGCGCGCTCCCCCTGCCGGCCAATCAGCGAGCGGCTCGGGTCCGGCACGTTGTTGGGCCCAGACGGAAACAAAAGGTCGCAACATCTGGGGTTCCGCTTCAAGGACTGGCTTGACACCGTTGGTCTTCTGGAAATTTTGCACTTCAGCTCTCAGAATTCTTGGCCCCTGGACCAGCTGTCTGGAGCTTCTGGGAGTTGTAGTCCCAAAAGCCTGGAAGAGCAAGGTTTGGGAATCACTGACTGGAAATATTAGGCAGGGGGAGGGAATTTCTTCTGGGGAACTTCTACACTGTGGGATGGGTGTAGTTTGGCACCACTTTAGTTGCTCTGGCATCCTGGGATTTGGTGAAGCCCCAGCCTCCTTTGGAAGAGAAACTATATCTCCCGGAATGTGTGAGATCCTGGGAAGCTACATGATTTATGTTTTTAACTTTTAACTTTTCAGCACATTTAATGATATGTTGTGAGCTGCTTGGAGTCTCAAACTAAAGGGAAAGTGGGATATACATTAATATAACAACTAATTTGTGAACAGAATGCTAGGCTAGAAAGGATGCGTAAATATGCAGCACATTGTGGGTGCATCTACACTGTGTAATGAATTAAGATTTCACTGCCACAGCTCAGTGCTACAGAATCCTGTGAATTGTAGTTTTGTGAGGCACCAACACTCCTTGGCAGAGAAGGTGAAAGGTCTTGTTAAACTATAACTCCCATGATTCCATAACATTAAGCCATGGCTGTCATACCGTATTCTTTGGCCCTCCAGGTGTTTTGGACTACAACTCCCACAATTCCTAACAGCCTATCAGGGGTATCTTTCAGTGGAATGTACTTCTCAGGATAGTTTTTGAACTGTATGGCTGTCTGTTGGGAAGGCTTGGATTGTGTTTTTCCTTCCTGGCTGAAGGGGGTTGGACTATATCCCTCTTTGGTGGGGTCTCAGGGTCTCTCCCAGTGGAGTCCCTTTCTCTGGAGGTTTTTAAACAGTGTTTTGATCGAGGAGTGCAAAGGAGCTTTTCCATGCAACACACCTGTAGACTACAGGTAACACACTAGTGTGTCCCAACACACAGTTTAGAAAGCTCTGGCCCAGGGGTGTCCAAACTTTTTAAGCTGAGGGCTAGTTCATGGTCCTGAAATCGATAGGAACTTGAGGAGGGTCTACCCCAGGAGGAGAGACCCTGAGACCCCACCAAAGAGGGATTGCTACTTTGGCAAGCCAAGAGAAGCCTGATTTTCAGCAATTTTATTTCCCTAAAAATCCAGAAGAAATCTCACCAAAGTTGAAGAAGCGCCACCAAGATGTTTTTATTAGCGATTCAGCTGAAAAGGATGCAATGCCGCAATCATTCGCCAAGCAGAGCATGTGGTTACAGAAAACAAAGACATTTTTAAAGGAAATACAGGCTTGTGAGTTTCAAAATTCCTACTCCCCGCCCTCCTCCCGGCACGATGGTGATTGGCTGGCGTGATAACAGCTGGGAGGAGGCTCAGCCGCCCTCCCCGCGCCAGAGCCAATCACAGAGCTCCTGCGGCGAGCAGGAACCTATCAGAAAGTTCCTGCCGCCTCCGCGCTCTGGCGAATCAGAAGGAAGGGAGGCGGGACAAAAAGAAACAATGCTTTCTTGAGTGGATTATGGAATTCCAATGTCCTGGGGCTTCTTGAGACCGGAATTGGCCTTCTAAATAAACTAACTTTATTGTCTTTAGATGGGTCTCCGATAAGTAATGATTACTTAATCCGAGTTTTCCTGTCGCAATCAGATATGACACAAAGAGGAGGCTGGGGTGGATGTCCGTTATGGAGAGGTTTGAAAGAAAAAACGGGGTTGGGGGAAAGAGACTTTTCGAGGGTCGTCTCGCCCCCTTTGTTATGTGATTAGAAGTTTGCCAAGCGAAAATCCCATTTGATGGCCCAACTCCGATGTCAAAAAGGATTCTCTGCTCTATTTTCCATGCAAACATGTTTCAAGATAAGAGTTCTTTTATGATTGCTGATTGCCTTTTCAGAGCCAGGGCAGCTTCCTTGTTAACTTCCCCCAAAGAGAGGGGAAGGGGGCAAAAGGTTCAGGGCAAGGTCAGAAATATAAGGGGAAATACATGAGGAAATATAGGAATCACAATAAAATCATATCAGACACCCCCTCCCTTTCCCACCCACCAGAGAATTGATTAAAGTTATAATTCCAGCAAAACATGAGTCCATAGTTCATTCAGGGGGAATTCATAGGTGGAAGCAAGTCCTTTGAAGTCCAAAACACTTGGCAGAAAGTCCAAAGTTTAGTGATTTTCACTGAGCCAGGGGATGGAGTCCTGCAGCGCTAAGATTGAAGTTAGTCCTTGGTCCTTGAGAAACTATAACTCCCTCCAAGGACTGGAGTCCCAAGGCCAGACTGTTCCCTGAAAGCCTCGTGGGGTAGCCACACCAAGTTTCCAGGGCAGGGGCTTCACAAGGACAAAGAAGCGCGAGGGCAGTGGCAGCGCGGCAGCAGCGAGGCTTGGATTTTGACAATCAGCTGTTTCCTTAATATTACATTCTTAAAAATTCAAAAGGTTATTCCCCGAGCGCAAAGGCCCGAAATACAGAAAGCAAGATAGCAGATAGTGTTAGAATTTAGCCAGGAAATATATTCCATCAAAATGGAGCCAATCCGCCATTTCGCGGATACGGGGGCCCGAGGGGTTTCCGTATCCGCGGTTTGGGGGAGCGCAGGTTCGGCCTCCCCAGGACGCCAGGGAGGCATCCCGGGCAGACCTGCAGTCTCCCACAGCCCAGAAAAGGTTAGTTTCATGCACTTTGATAGTTTCAGGCAAGAAAGGGACACAAACTATCAAGCAGGAGAGTTTAAAAGTTACAATTTGATTAATCTTTATTGAGGGATTGGTTACATAGTTGGGGCTGGCAAAGGAGTGAAAGGAGAGAGCATACGGCTGTAAAGAGTCCCTGGTTGAGGCTGCTGCTGGGGCACATTTCATCAGTTTGGCCCAACTTGGCATCAGGAACTGTGGAACTCCCTGCTGCTGGTCAGATCAGCTTGAAGGCAGGGGTCTGGGATGCCCTCGACGACAGTCCCTCAGCCTGTTGGGGAACCAAACTATAGGTCTTTAAAAAGCATGAACACATTTCTATGCACACTGCATATGTCTTATTTGTAGTGTTAAAAAAACCATGAAAGAACAGTACAATATATCAAACAAAGAACAAATTTTAACCAACATAAACATATCAGTCTTTCAATGGGAAGTGTTGGCTTGCTTTTGGCTGATGAGAGAGTCAAGTTAATTAGGATTGTTGTTGTTGTGGGCCTTCAAGTAATTTCAGATAGTAGCACATGCTGCCTCAGAGTCTGGTGGGGTCTCCTTCTCTGGAGGTTTTTCAGCAGACGGCATGGCCATCTGTCGGGAGGGCTTTGATTGTGGCAGGGGGCTTATAGTGGCTGTCTGGCCCTCCTCTTTTCTTCCCAAGGGAGGGACCTCAATGAAGGGCAGCCTTTTTGAAAAATGCAGGGACACAGCATGAGACGAGACAGAGGCAGCAGCGAGCGCCTGGGGCAAGCAGGGCAATGGGGGGGGGGGCTTCCTTTGCAAAGAAATAAAGAAAAGGTTGCAGAGGAAGAGACAGACAGACAGACAGACAAGGGCCACTGGGATGGGTTGCCCGAGGTTGGAGCCACCCAAGGAGTAGGTGACGCTTAATCAATCTGAAGGGACACAAGAGGCTGACATCCTCCCAAGGAGCCTGCCTTTTCCAGGGTCCTGATCCCCAAAAAAGGAAGGAAGGAATGACGAGAGGAAGAAAGTTAAGAAAGGAAGCAAGCAAGACAAGGGAGGAAGGAAAGAAGCAAAGAAGGGAGGGAGGTCTGGAGAGAGAGGGGGCCAGTGGAAATTTGAACAGGGTCAGCAATTGGTCCCCAGGCCAGTCTTTGGACATGCCTTATCTAGGGGTATTGAAAGACTGGGTTTTGCCCTATACTTTCATTGTTTTTCATTATTTGGCGAAGCACATGCTTTCTTTGCTTTGCATCCCTGAACTCTAACAAGGCTACTAAGAACCCTGGGTGTAATTTTAAGAAGATTGAATGGCATAAAAATAGCCATGCCAGAGAGGTTTACCTTCCCATCCCGGCAGCCTGACAAAGTAATCCTGTTAGTCTTTGCAAAAGCAAAAGCGGGGGAACCTTAAAGGAAGAAAACGTCGAGAGGAAGAGCTTTCCGTCTCTGCCTGTCGGTATTATCCTTTTCATTGCACAACAAAGGTGCCCTTTAGAAGTTGCAATGGTATGGGAAAATAATTTCCAATGTGTTTATATTACACAGTGTTCCTGAAAGGCTGCATCTACATGGTTGAATGAATACAGTTTGGACACCCCTTGAACTGCCACGGCTCCATGCTATGGAAACTGGGAGTTGTAGTTGGACAAAGTATTGAATCTCCTCTGCCAAAGAGACCTGGTACTTCAGCAAACTACAAATCTCATGATTTCCTTGTATTGAGCCATGGCAGTTCAAGTGGTGATAGACTCCAGGCCTACCCAGGGAGTTTTAAATGTATATTCTACTTGTATTTTAATATATTATTATCCTATAATAATATATGGTGCAATGGGTTAAACCCTCGTGCCAGCAGGATTGGAAGGACCAAGGCATTGATATCTCTGGCCCATCTTCAGTTTGAATATCAGCCAGCATACCAACCCAAGAAATAGCTTCCTAAGATCTACAGAAATACTCGCAGGAAAAAAAAGAAAGAAAAAGAAAACTTTATTTGTACCCCGCTAGCATCTCCCAGAGGATTCGATGCGGCTTACAACAGGCAGAGGCCACAACAATACAACATAACAATACAATCAAGCAAATCAAACAATTAAAACAAATTAAAGCAAAATAAACAACAAGCACAGTACATTAAAACACATTATACTGGGCCGGGCCAAAAGGTGGGTACAAGGATTAAAAGTGCTGATTTGACAGGAGGTGTATAAAGGGTTTCTAGGGCAAGTGCAATGTGCAATGTGCAGCAATCATTGGTTCTGGTAAAGTGCTTGTGGGACTCGGTAGTGGAGATTTCCTAATCCTAAACACCTCAGCAAGCGAGAGTCCAAAAGTGGCATGCTAAAACGCAGAACCTCAATCAGTGGCTGAGACCGGATGAGCGACTCCCTCCTGAGCACACAGAAGACTGGGCGACTTTGAAGGCACTGAACTGCAGCCCTCCAGGTGTTTTGGATTTCAACTCCTACAATTCCTTACAGCATCAGGCCACTTCCTTAACCCGCTCAGCTGCTAAGTTGGTCCAGCATTTCTGTGTTCTCAAACAATATGGTGTGCACAGGTTGGTGCATCAGGTGCTCTGTTCTGGCTTTGACTCTTTGCTTGAAAGCCTTCGATAACAAAATGCATATCCTGCAGAAGTGTTCATTCATTCAGTCTCTTCCAACTCTTCATGACCTCATGGACCAGCCCAGCCAGAGCTCCCTGTCTATTATTATTATTATTATTATTATTATTATTATTATTATTATTAGACTCATACAATTGGAAGGGACCCCCAAAGGTCATCTAGTCCAGCCCCTTCCTTCTGCCAGGCAAGAAGATAGAATTACTGCAGGAACAATAACAACAACAACAACAACAACAATAGTCTCCTGAAGTAAACTAAAGGGCATTGGACTTGAGTTTTGGAGTTGTGGTTTACCTACATCCAGAGAGCACTGTGAACTCAAACAATGATGGGTCTTTACCAAATTTGGCACAAAATCCTGATATGCTGCAAATGGAATACTGGCCTTTGTGTGGCCCCTTTGCCCTGCTGCTGCTGCTGCTACGGGTGGCTGCGGAGGGCGAGGATGAGGAGGCGGAGCTTAATCTGAATGGAGGGAGGGAGCGGCCAAGTGCCGAAGGAAAGAAGGAAGAAATGGAAAAGCCAGGAAAGGGGAAGGGAGGGAAGGGATCAAGGCAGAAAGAAGGAAGGATGGAAGGAAAGAAGGATATAAGGAAGGAAGGAAAGGGGAAAGAAAGGCAAAAGGAGGGAAGGAAGGATGGGAGGCAGGCAGGCAGGCAAGCAGATCGGGGCCTTCCTGCCCCCAGCCCCCAGATGCTCCATCTCCGTCTCCCGTCCGGGGGCAACAGGAGCAGCAAGAGGAGAGTGGCTGGCTAGGAGCGTGGAGAAAAGAGACAGACGTGCCTCCCGCTGCCTGCCAACCTTGCAGCCCCAGCCATGGTGCACCACGCCTCATACACCCTGGAGCTCTACAGGCGGAGATGAAGCATCCGGGGGCTGGAAGGGGGGCAGGAAGGCCCTGATCTGCTTGCCTGCCTTCTCACTCCCTCCATTCAGACCCAGCACTCACAGTGTCCGTGCCTCCACCTCACCTCCACCTCCCTCTTCCTTCCCAGCCCCCGAGCGGGAGAGGATCCGGCCCCCGGGCCGTACTTTGGGAACCCCTGTGCTAAATCGACACAGAAGCAGAATTAAACTGTAACCTACACTAAAAACAGTTTCAATGTATTTACATAACAACAACAACAATAATAAAACTTTATATTCCACCCTGTCTCCCCAGAGGGACTCAGGGCGGATTCCAACATACAGTGGCAAACATTCAATGCCTCCATAAAACAAGTACCAACATCATAACCCCCGAAAAATCCCACAACAACATTTAGAACCTAACATCAATAGATCAAAGCAAATGTAATCAAACAAAAACTATATAATGATGTAATATCTGAACATAAAACAATTCATTGATCTACAGAAGTCAACTATCATTCACAACATTGTGAGAGTTGGTTTTGTGGCCAGGGATGATAACTGGGCTAACATGGATTAGCAGAGCCCGGATACAAAATAATTCTCAACCAGAGGTCTGGTAGTGATCTTACACTGTCTAATCCTCCTCTTTTCCATATGCTAGTGCACAAAGGTGAGTCGTTTTTGGTTTTTTAAGGAAAGGAGAGGGGCAGCTTTATTTCTTTAGGGAGGGATTCCAGAGGTGGGGGGCAACCATGGAGAAGGCCCTCTCTCTCATTCCCACTGGCCATACTTGGGATGGGGGTGGGACTGAGAGCAAGGCCTCCTCTACTGACTGCAGTGCCCAAGCTGGTTTGTAGGAGGAGATGCGGTCAGTCAAGTAGCCTGGGGCCGAGCCATTTAGGGCTTTAATGGTAATGACCAGCACTTTGTATTTAGCCAATGAAGCTGCCATACAGGGCTCCAGTAAGTAACCTGGCTGCCGATCTCTGAACCAGCTGAAGCTTCTGAACTATCTTCAAAGGCAGCCCCATGTAGAGATCGTTACAGTAGTCTAAGCAGGATGTGACTAAGGTGAACTATGTAAAGAACAGTTCAAATACTACAGTGTGCTCTGAATACCCCTTTCTTGAAAATATTTTGGTTTTCAAAATAAATTTAAAAGGTTTTGCCTCTCAAAAAGGAACAAGAAAGGGGCATTCTAGCTCCTGGATACATGAGGGAAAGATGTCCAAAAACTAAAGACAACATTAGGGACTGCGCTGACAGCCTAATTCACCTTATGAAAGCGAGACGTGTTGTTAAATAATATTTCTGCTGTCGTCCCTGATAGTTCAGACTAAGGGATTGCGGTAGGTTTGCCAAGCCCCATAATCCCCATGTACCTTGCAAGATGACCTCAGTCAAGGAGTCCCGCGTAGGGGTCCCCACCGCTGTGAGCAGGTTGATGGACTGGTCCGTCATGTGGTTGCAGTAGCTGAGGTTGAGTCGGGATAGGAGAGGCATGTGGCGGATGATCAGGCGCAAGGACGCATCGGTGATATCCAGCCCCGATAGGCGCAATTCTGTGATATTGCGCAGTTTGCTCCGGTTGTCGATTTGACCTGTGAAACAAACCATCAGGAGAAATTAATAACCATTCCTCTTCACATAATGCCTCCTGGTCTTTGTTCTTCAGAGGTTCCAGACCCTCTGTATCCATGGATTCTCCGTTCCATAGATTCAATGGCCCTTTGAATGCAACCATAAGTCTGATGTGGCCCTTGATGAAAGTGAGTTTTGACAGCCCTGTCTTTGAAGTACCAAGACTCTCAAGAACAAGGCTGCTACACATAATAAATGAGATGTTTATGGAAGACAACAGAATGAAGCACATTTTGCAGGAGAACATAACACAGGAGGCAACCAAGACACAGGATCTGTGCCTCCCATCTATGTCCTACTTGGCATCTTATCAGCTCCTTTGTCTGCTCTTCGCTAGCCCCACCTGCTCTTGCTTATATTTACAAAGGATTTTCTTTAAAAACCTGAATATTACTCATAGAATTTGGCTAGCTTTTCCCTGCCAAAAAACTAATGTTTTCAAGAAATACAGGTAAAGGTTTCCCCTTCACATTAGGTTGAGTCGAATCCGACTTGGGGGGGGGGGGGGGGGGGGGGGGTTATCTCCATAACTAAGCCAAAGAGCTGGCGTTGTCCGTAGACGCCTCCAAGGTCATGTAGCCAGCATGACTGCATGGAGCGCCATTACCTTCCCGCTGAAGTGGTACCTACTGATCTACTCACATTTGCATGTTTTCGAACCACTAGGTTGGCAGAAGCTGGGGTTATCAATGGGAGCTCACCCCATCCCATGGATTCAAACTGCCGACCTTCCGGCAGCAATTTCTGCAGCTTAATGGTTTAACCCGCTGCGCTACCGCATCTGACCCATATTCTACGCTCAAAGGAGAGAGCCCTGGGCTCAAGGGTTCCTCCCCAGAAAACAGACCCAACCTCTCCCTAGAATCGAACAAGAGGAAGTACCAGGCCTGTTGTCAGTTGGAGGGGACAAAAGGTCTCGCATTTGGGCATCTTTAAGGCCCTCCACCCACTGGGCATCCAGCATTCGGAGGAGTGGGCAACTGGAGCTGCAGAGAGCGGACACAGCAATCCATGAGCATCCTGCCAACAGCAAATCTCGGAGGCCTAGAGAGGAGGGAGAGAGAGATAAACAGAAAGGAAAGGGAATTTTGGTATCATAGCTGAACTAACAGTACTACACAAGAGAGCATCTTCCCCAAAATGGATTGGTATAGAAGCTTTTTTTCATGCAATCACACAAGGAAGAGCCCCATTGCAAAACCTAGAGCTCAAAATGAACATAGCTGAATGCACTGGTGCCCAAGCTTTGGGATGCATGAGGCACAAAGCAAAGCAAAGGCTTTTTTAAAAAGTATGCCACAGGCACAAGAAACAATGAGCACAAATAAATTTGACAATTGAGCCCAAAACATCATCTCCCCCAGAAGGATCGCACGCTTTATGGCAGGGCTTGTAGACAGGATCCCAGACTAAGGCAACCTCTCCCTGTTGCATTAACAGCAGACATTTGGCTGAGGAGCCCACACAATGTGGAGCCCACACAAGGCAAAGTGTATTGGGATACTGACTGGCAAGTGCCCACTACCACCATGTATGCTTGAGATGTATGACAGCCCCCTCCATCTCAACAGACATTACCTGGGAGTCGGTTGATGAGCCAGCTCAGCTGCTTCTTGGACGTGTTTGTCCAGCTCAAATCGAGGCTGACTGGCTGCCTCCGAATAATGCCACTGAGCATGAGGGGAGTGATGGACTTGCAGTGGTTTAGGTCTATTTTGGTCCACAGTCTTTTATCACAGCACCTGGAAGGAGAAGACAGAAGGTTTCATAAGAAAATCATCCTGACACTTGGGCTGAAAGAGATACCTACTCAAATCACATTGAAAAATAACATCACTAAGGAGGGTTCTCCACAAATTGGGAGTCAACTGGGAGGCACAGAAGAAAAAAAGCATGAATGCTCTGTACAAATAAACAAGATGGTGAATACAAACTGAGAAAATGCAACCAGGACATAGAATGCTAACGTTATGAATAGTCATGTAAATATCGGATATGCAGGATGTGTTTTCATTCACTGGACCACACTTGGCACAAATACCTGATATACCCAAATTTGAATACTGGTGGGGTTGGGGGGGGGGGTTGATTTTGTCACTTGGGAGTTGCAGTTGCTGGGATTTATAGTACACCTACAATCAAAAAGCATTCTGAACTCCACCAACAATGGAACTGAACCAAACTTGGCACACAGGACTCCCATGACCAACAGAAAACACTAAAAGGGTTTGGTGGACATTGACCTTGAGTTTTGGAGTTGTAGTTCCCCTACATCCAGAGAGCACTGTGGACTCAAACAATGGTGGATCTGGACCAAACTTGGCACAAATACTCAATATGCCGAAATGTGAACACTGGTGGAGTTTGGGGGAAAATAGACCTTAAAATTTGGGAGTTGTAATTGCTGGGATTTATCGTTCACCTACCTTTAAAGAGCATTCTGAATCCCACCAATGATAGAATTGGGCCAAACTTTTCACACAGAACCCCCATGACCAACAGAAAATGCTGTTTTTCTGATAGGCTTTGGCGACCCCTTTGACACCCCATCATGACCCTCTCTCAGACGTCCCAACCCCCAGGTTGAGAAATGCTGCTCTAGGATTACTGGAGGGCATCTGAGACCCAGGATACTTCTCTGGTGCCCTCCAGAGGAGAAAGTTGAATCCTAGATAGGTTTTGGTTGTGGGAGGCAGCACATTCCTTGCTCCTGCACAACCAAAATAGTTCAATGTGTCATTTGAATCATACTGAATTTTGTAGAATGAGAGAAGAGTTCCCCAGAAAAGAGAACCAGATACACTCCAGTAACAACTCCATATACACCAATAAAATGAGCCCACCTTCTGCACTTTTTAATGGCACTGTGAGGTCTATTATTCATTCTTTTGATTTATATCCATTTCTTACTGCTTAACTGAGGCACAAAGCAGCTCTAGAAACTTCCTCTTTCTTTCAAAACAAACCCATGATGTTCAGCTTTGAAATCTTGATTTGGTGTGATTTCTTTCCCAATTTACAAGCACATCAGTGTCCTTGAGCCCTTGATCCCATTACAGGATCCAACCTCCTGCATGTCTTACCATCGATTCCAGGTCCTGCACACTCTCATGCAGAGACACAGCTCGCTGTGACTGAGGTAGCGGAAGACAGCCATCCAGATTTCCCTCTGCATTACGTGGGCTGCCCCGTCATCCAGTGGGAGAGAGTCTGGTGGGGGGCTGATGGGGGGTGGGCGGATAACGTGGCGCTCCATCTGCATGCACTTGGGGGGCGAGAGGGATGGGGGAGGCCGGGGGAGGGCCCGGGGGGTGCTGACGTTGCTGCTGCGCAGGTTGAGCGAGAGCTGGTGCCGGAGCTCCCGAGGCGTGCCATTGAGGTTCTTGTTGAAGCGGTGGGGCCGCTCCGGACCAAGCAGGCGCTTGGGCTCCTCGTTCTCGCTCTCCGGCTCGGACTTGATGGGCTGGTGGTTCTCCTGGGCCAGGCTGTTCTCCGTCTTTTGGATCTCCTGGTTGAGTTCCTTGCTGAGTTCCTTGCTGAGCTCCTTGTTGGGGAGGCGAGTCTTGCGACGGATCTTGAACTTCTTCTTATCACGGGATTCCGCCCCCTCTGAACTGGGACCGGCCATCGGGGAGCTGGAACGAGACTGGTCACTGTCTCTGCTTTTTGGAGGGTCCTCAGGGAGGTCATCTTCAGGCTCCTGCTTGAAACGCCGCGAGGGCTTGACCATGCCACTCCGGTCATCTGGAGACTTCCAGGATCGCCTCTGGAAAGAGAAACCCCATGCTTTAGTATCATACCCTCACTAGAAATGTGAGAGGAGGAGGAAAAACCTAATGTGGAGAGGCCTCTTTCTTTTCCCACCATCCCAATCCCTTTTTTTCTGCAAAGAAAATTAAATGTGTTATGAACTCTTTTTAAAAAGACATATTCTTATTACATCAAGTGCAGACTACCCTCCTCATGGAGGCCCACCTAACACCTACATTGCCGTCATTCCAGGACAAAGTGAATACAGTAGAGTCTCACTTATCCAATATAAACGAGATGGCAGAATGTCGGATAAACGAAAATGTCGAATACGGAATCTTCTACTGTTACCTGTCCGACACAGTACCAGACACTTAGAGTACTAACAACAGGGTTAAGGGAAAGTAACGCCTCGGAGCTAGAGTAGCCCAGAGGAGCGTGGAAATCACAGCGGGAAGGAGGGAGGACGCTTCCACTTCCGGTCCTGCCTCTTTTCCCCCTTTCCTCCTCCTTGCCTTGCCCTTTTCACTTATTGGGAATGGAGAGGGAGTTGGGGAGCGCTCCTTTAATTGAAGGGGAAATGCTAGAATAAAAAGGGAGTGTTGGATAAGACGGAATGTCGGATAAACCAGACTATACTGTACATGCCTTGTACATAAAAGGCTTGGGGGGCCTATCTTTGCTTTTACATGGATCCACACTTAAGCATGGCTTTGTATTGCTTTGAAGTATTTGAATTGTTCTGATACATTCTTGTTTGTGAATCTGCTTCAAGCTTGAACCCAAACTTGGAAAGGTGCTGGGCCGCATCCTTCCAATAGGTCCAATTTGAGGCTAAATTTGGGAAGAGGTTCATCAACAGAAAGACATACTCTAAAGCAGGGGTCCTCAAACTAAGGCCCGGGGGCCGGATACAGCCCTCCAAGGTCATTTACCCGGCCCTCGCTTAGGGTCAACCTAAGCGTGAAACGATTTGAAAGCACACAGCAACAACAACAGCAGCAGCAGCAATCCTATCTCATCAGCGAAAAGCAGGCCCACACTTCCCATTGAAATACTAATATTTGTTAAAATGGTTCTTCATTTTAATTATTGTATTGCTTTTAATTGTTTTTTGCACTGCAAATAAGATATGTGCAGTGTGCATAGGAATTCATTCATGTTTTTTTCAAATTATAATCTGGCTCTCCAACAGTTTGAGGGACTGTGACCTGGCCCTCTGTTTAAAAAGTTTGAGGACCCCTGCTCTAAAGCTTCAGCATGGAGAATTTCAGCTCTTCTCTCTTGCTCCCAAAATCAGTCTTTTAGTTCCACCCTCCCATGGTTGAAGAGTGAACCAGGCAATCCAGCTTAAAAGCACTTTATTAGAGTTAAGACTCTCTGCACATTGCACTTGCCCAGAATTCCAACATACCACCGTCACATCCAGCACTTTTTAACCTGTACCCATCATTGGCCCGGCCCTGTTTTTAATGTGTAATAGTGTAATGTTTTTGTCAGTGCTTATGTTTTATTTTTTGCTTTGTATTGTATTGTTATTGTTTGCTGTTGTTGTGTTGAGGCCTTGGCCTTTGTAAGCCGCATCGAGTCTTTCGGGAGATGCTAGCGGGGTACAAATAAAGTTTAATAATAATAATAAGCAGACAAGAGCAGATATGTCTCCCCGATTGAGGGCCTGTTAAGAATTAACACTACAGGCATCTCTTCTCTTCTCTCTCTTTCGGAAGAAACCCTGACCCTTTAGCATCAACCTGAGCAGGCGGACCCTGCCAGGACTCACCCGCTTCCTCAGGGCTGGTTCTGGAGGCTTTTCAAATTTCCGCTTTCGCCGCAAGTGAGCTTCTTCCGACTTCCTCCGCAGCAGCGGGTCCACCAGAGAGGGCTTGGGGGAGCGGTCATCCACTTTCTTCCGGGGGGGCTCCTCGCACTCCCCTTTCCGCTTGCTGGGATCCGGGACCACCTCCTTGTTCTCCCGGTTGATCTTCTGTTCTTTGAGAAGGGAGCCAGGGAGGTTGGACGCATACTTGAACCCAGGCCCGCGCTTTTGCTTGTACACCAGAGACACAAAACACACAAGCAAACTTTATATCTTATGTCTTTTTACTGGGGCTTTCTAGGCAGCATCAGAAAATCAACCCTGGATTTGACACTTTCACCTATTTTAGGGATGAGAAAGGTATTTCGTAGCATCACTCAATAAAGCTAGGTAAGACTGGAGAGCTGGCAATGCTTCACTCTACATAATGGCTCACTGCCACGCTAGGGAGAGGCAGACAAGTCTCATTAATGCCTTTCCCCATGCAAAAAAATAAGGAGTCTATGAGAGTTTTCCCTTTGGGCATAACTACCACTCTTTGAAGAGAAACACATTTGCCTATTACACCAGAGCTGAACCTTCACAGCAGGCAAGGAGAGCTATACAATTTGAAAAGAGCCAAAGATCCCTTCCTGAACATGAGTCTTTTGCTATTCCAAGAAGTCACAACTTTAGGTTAAGCCCATTCTCAGATGTGGCCCCAGGCAATGAAGCCCAGCAGACCTAGCGACTTTCACCTAAATTGAGAATGTGCCCTCAAAGCATCTACCATTTCTCATCCCAAGAGCTTCTCTGCTACTTAGTTTGGGTCCTGAGCTTAAAAAGGGTCCTCACCCTGGCAAGGAAACTAGAAAAGACCCAAAATCTTCCTACAGTAGGAACGGTGCCACCTGCCAGACCGCATTCTAGTCTCCAAACGCAAACAAAAGAGCCCCTGGGGAGGGTAGCTTGGCATTCCTGGAAAGTTCAGAAGATGTGGCTCATCAGTTGGGACATGGTCACCTAGCAGTAGCAAATGGCCCATGGCATGTCCAAAAAGGAGGAGCAAGCTTGCAAAAGAGAAAAGAGCAGACTTGCAATCGGTGCGACTTCATTCTAGTGACACTCACTTTCCCCGTTTTGCCCGCATGGTTGCACTTTGGACATTCCCAGCAGTTTGGCAGCTCTTCGTTCACCACGCCATCCGATTCCCGCACCTGGTAGGGAGAGGGGGACAGCATGGGCATGACAGGAAAGCTCTGTGGGTTACATTGGACCGGGCCTAGATCGTTGCCTAAGGGAATGAGGGCCACACTAACGTCTACCACTACAAGCACCTTGGGAAGTCTGAGATCCGTACGCCACTGAGCCAGACACATCTGCGTTGCCTCCCCACTCGCCCCCCCTATCCCAGGGGGCCACTCACCCCTGCTTTCCACCGGCCCTTACCTTAAGGCATCCTGGGTGTATGATTTCGTTGCAGATGGAACATTCCATAAGCATGAGATTAAACTTGCCCCCCTCCTCCTCCGCCGTGTCTTCCTTCCCTGCTTCCCCACACACCAGGCACACAGCCGTATGGGGCAGTACTGGCTAAACACCCGCAAGGGAAGAAAGGAGAAGAGGGTCAGGAAGTGGGTAGCAATGAATCAGCGTCGGCCCCTGCCAAAGTCTTCCCTCCCCGAGCTCTCGGCACTGGGCATGGCCAGTTTGTGGAAAGGCCCACAATGCCTCTGCGGCTTATCATTCTTAACTCAAAGGCTGGGGGAAGTGGGGGGGGGGGGGGCGGGGGGAGGCACAGAGCTCTCCACTTTGTCTACAGTCACTTTTGGCAAAGCAACTATTGGGATCTTGTTTCGAGTCCCGCTACCATCAAACGCAGCGAGCCTGTAGTTTACAACTCAGTCCCACAAAATATTATTTTCAGAACTAACTGCACCCTACAACCCTTTATTAGGTGGTTTGGTCACTCCATGCCCCCATCCTGCGGAATTGTACATTTGAGGCCCATAAGAAGCCTTTTTCTGAAACAAGAAATAATGATCAGAAAGTTAATAAGAATTCTTGGGCACCACAGTTGGCAAATGGGTTAATCAGAAAAAGTAAGTGATTGTCAACAGAAGCCTGGTTACTGGTATAGATTTCTGCTCAGTCAACATAACAGGGCCTCTTGGCCTATAGGAACAGAATTTTGAGCCTTTAAGGCCAGAATCAAGCAGAAAATGCCTGGGCTGCCAGGAGGAAGGCGAGATTGATGTATTTCTGTAGAACCCAATATAGCATCCAATTCACTCAGTGAATACAGAAGTAGATGCCATTTCAGAGCAGTGGCAAGTGACCAGAAACACTTGCTACTTTCAGCCATTCAACTAATCCTTCCAAAACTATGCCATTCCAGGCAAATCTAGTTATTAGGGGGAGGGAGCCCTTTCTGCCAGTTAGAGCAGACAAAAAAGGGTCACAGACCTGGCTTGCCTTGCAGCGCTCTACGCCCTCGTCCACAAAAGTCGAGATCACATTTGTTTTGGGGGCCGGAGAAAGACTCGCCAGCATTTTCCTGGCCGGACAATGCCGCGCAGGTGACCGGAGGCTTACCGCAATGCACTGCCGCATAATGCAGGACTGCTTCATGCGGCCTGGCCCGCCAAACTTCTTCATGTCTTTGCAGAAGTGGCACTCGCCGCACTCGGTGCGCAGACAGGCCTCGCACTTGCGGCATCGTGTTCTTCTCCGGCGGGCACCAGCCGTGGTCCGGTTTGCGGCGAGTTTGACAGCAGAGCTGGGCCCCAGTTTGCCTTTGGGCCGCCCAACGGACCGATTCTGGGGAGGGGAAAAAAACAAAAGGCCCCACCTTAACTAAATGCTGAGAATTAAATCCTGATTGTGAAGAGGCAACAAAGCTGAACAATGAAGAAACCACTCTGATGTCATTACTACAGGTGGTCTCCAAGTTACAAATATCTCTTAGTTAAAAACGGGAGTAAGGAAACAGGAAGTAAGAGAAATCTACCACCAGGAAAGGAAAATAACTCCCTCATGAGTAATCATGAGGGAAAGGACTCTGAAGCTTTATCCTCAATCCTTGTTTTCACAACAAGCCACATTTTTCAAAATCCAATGATCACAGGGACAGAAATTGAGGTGAAATCTTCTGAACGGGCACAGGCAGCAAAGAAAACACACAACGCCAAGGAATATATATTTTTGGCTATAGTTACACTTAAAATATACCTGTTCCAACTTACATACAAATTCAACTTAAGAACAAACCTACAGAACCTATCTTCTTCATAATTTGGAGACTGCCTATACTTTGCATTTGTACAACTGTTGGAGTGCTGATTTCCCCATACATTGTGTTGAAGCCACTGAAAAATTAAAAAAAAACCCTATGCTACAAGCGAAGGGTCTTGAATTCAAATCCCAGGCATCTCCAGGATGCCAGGTGAACACTTAACCTTGCAGTAGCAAGTTTAGATGAGCGCAAATATAAGACTTGCTCTAGAGAGGCACTGCATGTTTTCATTTTGTGTGTGCACGTTCCCTACATGTTTTCAAACACTAGCTTTCTCCTCATGTTGCTCACATGTCACACTTCCAGGCGTGGTTCTGAAAAAAAATCCCTAAATGAATACACTACAACTTGCTCACCCCTCAAAGGTTTTATCAAGCCCATCGCTTCTCAGATCACTTGCAGTTCCCAGAAAACTAAACCATTGTGTTCAAATACCTGCACATTTACATGAATTAAGAAGCCCAGAGCTCTACTGTCTTGAGAGGGTGCTTTGAGGTGCAAAATAAATTACTTGGAGGGGTAAACAAGTTGGTCTATCCCAGCAAAAAACCTCTCCCTGAATGCCAAATAAATCTGTAAGCCTGTGCAGTGTCACAAGACACTGTTGTTGCTGATCCTCTCATGAATCAAAGGCATGCAAATAGGAGCTGGGGCAACAATTCCAGATCTTGTTCTTGGACAAAAAGAAACTTCTGCTCTGAACATAGAAGTCAATCCAGTGATGGCTCCACTCTCTCTGGCAATTCAGGTGCCAGTTAAATACATCGGTACTCACCTGGTCATTTAGTAGGTATTGAAGTGGCTACTTTATTGTTTCAGCTCAGGCATGGGCAAACTCCGACCCTTCAGGTGTTTTGGACTTCAGCTCCCACAAGTCCTCACAGCCGATAGGAATTGTGGGAGTTGAAGTCCAAAACACCTGGAGGGCCAATGTTTGCTCATGCCTGCTCCAGCTGCTGGATTTTGCTTTATAGAGAGAGAGAACATAGCAGACTGCCTAGAAAACCCGCAACAGAAAAATGCACCTGAAGGAATTCAGAGACTCAGATCTAGAACACATTCCCGGGAATGGAGTTTGTAAATGCTGTGGAACATGTCGTAACATGTTTGCTTGGAAGAAAATCCCCAGAAAACAACATTTACTCTCTGAAAGACATGTGGCGAAACTAAAGGCGCTTGTTTTCTGCTCCCCTGGAAATTAAGTATTGGGACCATGTGTTTAAATGACAGGAGAGGAGATCCCACCTGAACATTAGGAAGAACTTACAGCTGTCCAACAGTGGAACTCTCTGCCTCGGAGTGTAGTGGAAGTGCCTTCCTTGGAGGCTTTTAAACAGATAGCTGGATGGCCATCTGTCATGGGTGCTTTGATTATGCCTTTCTTGCATGGCAGAGGGCTGCACTAGATGGCCCATCAGGTCCTTTTCCACGTGATTCTACGTGTGTCTATTTCTCTCCAGGCTGTGATCCTTCCCAGGGAAACAAGGGTTCCCATGCCTAGCTCTAGAGGGATATGGACAAGATGAAAGGTGTCCTGAGAAGGGCCAGCAAAAGGGTCTAAGATTTGGAAACAATAATAATAAAACTTTATTTGTAGACTGCCCTATCTCCCCGAAAGGACTCAGGGTGGTTTCCAACATGCATGGCAAACATTCAATGCCAAAAGGAAAGAAATACATATAAATTACATCAGGACAGACCACATCAAGCCCTCTAAGGAGCCTCTTAGGAGGCTGGGTCTGTTTCGCTTAGAGAAAAGGCAACTAACATGACAGCCATGTTTCACTATCTGAAAGGATGTCCCATTGAGAAGAAAGGGGCAGGCTTGCTTTCACACTACTCTGGAGACTAGGACACAACAGAGCAGTAGATTCCAATGGCAGGAAAAAAGATCCCACCAAAACATTTGGGACAACTCCCTGACAGAGCTGTTGTGCAGTGGAATATTCTTCCCGCAATTCTGGTGGAGCCTCCTTCCTTCTTTGGTGGTTTTTAAGAAGAGGCTGGATGGTCATCAGTCAGGAAGGCTTGGATGGCATCTTTCCTTATGGCAGAAGCACCTTGGGGGGCTTTTCTAACACTGTGATTCAATGAAAGGAGGAGGGGCACATTTCTGAATAAGGAGCAGCTAGCATATTGATGAAGATCAGTTTCAAGGTAAGCCGGGATATGATCACACCCGTATTCCTCACAAGCAAGGGGGGGGGACAGAGACTTCTCGGTGGTGGCCCTCCCCAAGGAAATTAGACAAGCACACACCCTAGTAACTCTCAGGAAGGAGTTGAAAACCTGGCTATTTAAGCAGGCTTTTGATAATAGCTAAGTGTATCCACCACACTATTAGACAGAATCTTATATGGTTATTAGAAGTATAATTTATAATGCTGTATACTTTGATCATAGGAATTGGCTGGTTTTAAACAGCATTTATATATATATACTGCTTTTAGAGGGATAAATAGTCTTTTAAACTATTTATTTATGTTTACACGGTTCGTACTATTTTGTTTTTAATTAATTGATATGCGATACTGTCTGTGTTATATCATTTGTGTATTTGTAGTTTTGTTGTAAGCCGCCCCGAGTCCCTTCAAGGGATATAAATAATTATAAAATAATTATAAAGTAATAAAATAAACATAAAGCTTCTTATTATCCTTACCCCGATGCATATTTTACTCAAGAGAGAAAGGTCCTTTGCGATGGCAGCTCAAGGGGTGTCAAACTGCATTAACCTGACAGTGTAGACACCAGCACCTTTCGCAGGACACGCCTTTCTGGGCAGAAGTTTGTGACAGCAGAAGGGCTGCTGATGCCTTTTGGAATGCCCCATGCCTGGAAAATGGGAAGACCACCTTCAGGGGAGCCAAACACCGCCTTGGCAAGATGAGATCCCGAACAAAGAGACAGAAAAATTGGGATCCACCCACACTGCAGAGATCACCCAGCCCCTCTTGCTTACACACCACAACAGCCCAGATTGCCAAAGATACCCCTTGCAAAGCAAAAAAAAGCACTTCTTCCACTTCCTGGTGCAAATCAAGGCGCCTCGGGGCAAGTTCGGAAGCTCCTGGGAGCACAAAAGCCCCTCCAAGTGGCTTCCGTCGGTCTGCTTTTCCTCTCCCTTGAAAATATTAGCTTTCTTTCGAGACCAGCTAAGCTGGGGAAGGGGAGGTGGCAGACAAGGGAAGAGCCGCCGTTCCCACATTGTCTCCTCCGCCCCCCGCCCCTCCTGGCCTTTTTCTCTCTCTCTCTTCCCGCGAAGCCCGAAGGCTTTTGACCCCTCCCGGGCCCCTTCCCCTTCGAACCTGCTCCTGCTCCGAGTCGTAGTCCTCCTCGTCGGGGCTGACGGACATGGCCATGGCGCATGGCGGGCGGGCGGGCGAGCCGGCCTCCCCCACAGACACAGAGAGAGAGCGCGCGAGCAAACAGAGAGCCACACACCCCACACACTCACACTCGCGGAGGAAGCGGGGGGACGGCGCCTCATATAGGCCGCCGTCGAACCAGGAAGGGGCGGGACTCCGGCCGCGCCGGCCAATGGCGAGGCGGGGCTCGTGGAGAACAAAGAGCGGTCTCCGATTGGCCGAGCAGGGGAAAGAGGCGGAGCGAGGAAAAAGGGGGGAAATTGGGCTGTCCTGACAGAGGTTGGTCAGTGGCCCCAAGAGGGGCGAAGCCGGACGGAGCTTTCCGCCGCTTTCTTTGAGGCAACACTTCTCCAAGGCTGCAGGGTATAGTAATTATATGTTGTTGTTCATTCGTTCAGTCGTCTCCGACTCTTCGTGACCTCATGGACCAGCCCACGCCAGAGCTCCCTGTCGGCCGTCACCACCCCCAGCTCCTACAAGGTCGGTCCAGTCACTTCAAGGATGCCACCCATCCACCTTGCCCTTGCTCGGCCCCTCTTCCTTTTGCCTTCCACTTTCCCCAGCATAATTGTCTTCTCTAGGCTTTCTGTCTCCTCATGATGTGGCCAAAGTACTTCAACTTTGTCTCTAGTATCCTTCCCTCCAATGAGCAGTCGGGCTTTATTTCCTGGAGGATGGACTGGTTGGATCTTCTCGCAGTCCAAGGCACTCTCAGCACTTTTCTCCAACACCACAGCTCAAAAGCATCGATCTTCCTTCGCTCAGCCTTCCCTAAGGTCCAGCTCTCACATCCGTAGGTTACTACAGGAAATACCATGGCTTTGACTAGGCGGATCTTTGTTGCCAGTCTGATGTCTCTACTCTTTACTATTTTATCGAGATTGGACATTGCTCTCCTCCCAAGAAGTAAGCGTCTTCTGATTTCCTGGCCACAGTCTGCATCTGCAGTAAAATGCTCATTTCGAATGACATCATAACTCAAAATCTGCTGGATGAATTGCTGCCAAATTTGGCCACAAGACACCTACTAACCCAAGGAGTGACCATCACTAAAAAAATGATTTTGTCATTTGGGAGTTGTAGTTGCCGGGATTTACAATCAAAGCGCATTCCGAACTCCACCAACGATGGAATTGAACCAAACCGGGCACACAGGA